AAAATAAAGAAATATAATCATTATTATATTTAATGTTATAATAATGTAAAAAAGTTTGGCGAGTTGCTTGGCGAATATTTCAAAGTAAAGCTTTTCGCCAGTATAATTCTTTACATATATAAAAATAGAAATTATTTCTATTTAAAGTAATTAAAACTTTGATCGGAACAAATTATAATAAGTTTTAATTTTATTAGCTTAAAATAAATAAATATTTTAAAAGAAAATTTATCTAGAAAATAGTGTACTATACTCACCGATACTAAAATGATGTGCAGGTTCCTGTTATGGTAGTACATCAACTGCATTGAGATGGTTATTTCATCGTGTGAAAGTATTTTTAATGCTTTGATTTTAAAGAAAATGTTATTATTAAACTAAAAAACTGTTCCGTTTCGTCTATAAAAAAATTTCATCCGATCATCCTCTTCACCAACGTCGCCGCCATTTTTATTTACATTTGTATACGTCATCACATAAAATTGAAACGTAATAAAAGCAAACGATCTGATTGGTTCATGAAAGAAATTGCCTGAACGGTTGCAGATATTTCGTGCAACCGTGATTTCTATATCACACGAGCAATTTTTGGAGAAATTTCACTTACAGTTGCACTTACACTTGCAGTTGCACATATTTTCTCTCGTGTGATATAGCCATTATAATATACTACACCAAACAGTGTTTTATTTAATGTGTGTGAAAAATGTCTAGTAAAATATTTTTGAAAATATTAAGTAACAATTAATTTCTATTCTTACAGTTTAATCATAACTTCGATCATAGCCAAATGAAATTTCCGAAGAAAAAAAGTTGTTAAATGGTAAAATTATTTCTCAAAATAGTTCAAACATTAAGTTTGAATTCTTGAAATGGATTTCATGTTTATTTTATCAAATTCTTAAACTATAAAGTACAGTTACTTATGTGAATGATATTATTCAAACTTTTGAATGTGTTTTTGACGAAAGTGTTTATGTACTAAGTGTCACATGCAATATTGAATTGGAAGAAGAAAACTTTGTATATTTTTGCTAAATGCATTATTATTAGCTTTAAGCTGACGTGAAGAGAGAAAAAAATTATTATCTAAATATGCAATATAATTGGACAAAATGAAGTAGCTATTGTAATTTTTATGTTGTATTATTTTATCAATAATAAGCAAGATTCGAAAAGAGATGAATTCCAAGAATAATGTTTAATATTCTAAAGAGTAAGTAATGTTTCATATTCAAATAAAAAAAATTGACAAGTCTAATCAAAGCAAATTTTGGGAAACTTTATTATTTCAATATAATAAAAAAGTAATTATTATAAATTATCTTTATTTAATAAATGTAACATTTATATAATGTTTTGTGTTTAAGATCAATTTATATTTTTTTGAATCAATTCAATAATTTTATAGCAAATTTTTATTTCTTAATTGTTTTGGCTTTTTTTATGTTGCTTTGTAAGCTTTATGTTTCAATTCATTTGCTCATTATTTTCTTTTTTTCATATTATTATTGCTTGCATTTATTGCTTACTTTGCCTAAGCTTTTTCTTTCTTTTCCTATTCTCTGCCGTTTCTGCATCTTCTTTGGAATTTGTATGGTAAGTAAAAGCAAACTTTTTGCTTTTTATAATGTATATTTTTTATGCAGCAAAATAATTGTTAGGCACTTTAATACAATTTCCTTATGTTTCTTAGATACATGCACTCAAGCTATTATACCCTTGGTAAAAAAATTATGTGAAAACTCATATTGTTCTAAAGATTCTACACTTCCTGTAGTTTCCAAGCAACTTGGTCGCTTATGTTGTGGATTAGCTGGTAAGTATATATTTTAATAACTGGTTCATTTTACTTTATCTCTTCAAATCTTATCTCATTTTTGAGATAGTAGTTGATTTATACAAGGTGTTCTGTAATCCCTACCCTTCATATATATTTTTAAAATCCTTGTCAATGAAGGTAAAAAATATGCACATTGGGAATTGCTAGTTAATATTTTAGTTAGAAAAAAAGAAAAGAAAAATGCTAATGGAATCTGAATGGAAGAAGGGATAAAAAATATCAAAACCTGCTTGATTGCTACCTGAAGCTTAAAAATGCATTCACAGTTGTAACTCATCAGATTTTGGTAAAGTTTTTTTATTTCATTTTTCACAAAGATTTTAAAAATGTATATTGAAAGTGATGATTACAGAACATTCTCAAGAAAATGGGCCAAAAAAATTTGAATTAAAATTTGTATATAATTTTTAAATGTTTCTAATTTTACCATATTAAATATTTAAAATGCTTCATTTTTCAATAACGATGCTTTTTAATTGCTTCTTAGACGTATACTTTTGAGCACAAGTTATACTTTCATCTTTAATACTTTCATTAACTGATACGAGGGTTGCTATTTATATTTTTGGCCTAATAATGAAAAAAAAACAAATATGTAGGATCGAAATTGGTTTTATTGTTTTTCAAAATATTCTCCATGATGATCAATACACTTTTGCTTGCGTTTGAACCAATTTTCAAAGCACTTTTTCCAGTCCGATTGAGGTAACTCCAAAACATGCGTTTTGAATGCATAAACTGCTTCTTCGGGGTTGAAAATCGTTGTCCACGTAATTTATTTTTGATGTGTGGGAATAAGAAGAAGTCCTTAGGTGCCAAATCAGGGCTGTACGGCGGATGACCCATCAGTTCGATCTTTCGCTCCGTCAGAAATGCCTTTGTTTGAGTCGATGTGTGAGAGCTCGCATTGTCATTATGCAGAATGATTCACCTGTTCTTCTGCTTTTTTTCGAATTTCTCCTATGACTTCTGGCAAACAAATGGCCGTGTACCATTCAGAATTGACCGTCCTGGTTTGCTCTAACGCCACTGTTGCCACATGACCGTTAATGCCGAAGAAACAGGCAATCATTTGTTTCGATGTGCTTCTTCCTCGAACAACTTTTGTTGGTTTTGCCTCGTCTTGGAAGACCCATACAGTTGATTGCTGTTTTGTTTCCGGCTCATATGCATAGATCCATGATTCGTCACCTGTGTAGATGTTATACACAGCCTTTGATGTACCTTGAACGTATTTTTCCAACATTTCCTTGCACCAATCGACACGAGCCTTTTTTTGAGCGTTTGTCAGATTATGCGGGATCCAACGCGAACAAATTTTTTTTACGCTCAAATGTTCATGCAATATTTTATTGATGCTAGTCATACTAATGTCCAAAGACGCCTCTATCTCACGGTATGTCACATGACGATCTTGCTTTATCAGTTCACGCACAGCATCGATCTTTTCTGGCACAACAACGGATTTTGGACGACCTGCACGGGATTCGTCCTGGATCGAACATCAACCACGATTAAATTCATTATACCAATTTTTTACAGTGCTATAGGATGGCGTTTTATCGCTGAATAAAGAATTAAGTTCATCGAAGCACTCTTGTCTTGACAATCCACGTCGAAAGTTATGAAAAATAATGGCACGAAAATAATCACGATTCAATTCCATTTTTTGAAAGAGAAGAACTTTTCATTTTGCTGTCAACAACACAAATGAAGCTATAACGGTAAATCGTCTGCTGAAGCTATGTTTAAAAATATCAAACTTTCGATTAAAATCGTCTGCGGTCGCCTAGCAACACTTACTGTTGCCAAGGCCAGAAATATAAATAGCAACCCTCGTATATATTTTTATTATGTATAGCACAAAAAATTATTTTGTTTCTATATTTTTTTTTTAAAAAAATGATAAAGCACTACTAGAAGTTTTTTTTCTGTGCTTAATAATTTATCTAATTTAAAGAGTTTAAACTTAACATAATTTTTATTCCTATAAATTTAAATGTTTTAAATAAATCTAAATCTTATGTCCATAATTGTTGTCTCTGTAACATTAAATAAATAGTTCCTTTATATTTTTGCTAGACTTATGTAAAACTATTTTTTGAAATTTAAAGAGAACATTCTCTCAAATTTTAATTGTTGTTTGCAATATTTATTTATTTCTTTGAAATAGCTAGTTAGTTAAATATTCCTTTTTATTTACTGGATCTCAGAAAAATTGTTTATTAGTTATGTTTTGATAGCCTGTTACATGCTTTGTAAAGTATTTACTTTTTTTAATAATACGAAACTGTTCATATTTAAAATAATTTAACTGTCTAAAAATTATTTACAATTATTTTTGTTGATTCACTCAGTTTTATTTTACATCTGCCTAATTCATTATATTAATTTTATTGCATTTTTTCCCTTATGTTTCTTTATGTTCAAATACTTTTTATTTTATTGCAATATTTATCATTTGATGAACTGTATTGTACTTTATTTTTACAGATATTCTGACATCTGCACAAAAGCAATGGTTTCTAACGTTTTTTCAAGATTTAGCAAAGCTGGGTTTACCTAACAAAGAAAAAAGAAGTCCGCCCTCTTATAGTCCGGTATTTTAATTATATTTTTCACTGGTAAACTTATCATGAAAGTATGTTTAGTTCACCATGTGACAAATACCATCTTACATATTTTACAGTTGCCAGACTTGTTACCTGCAGTTGACAATAAAGATCGTTATCGAGAATGTAGAAAAGCTTGTGCTTACAATTTTCCGGTACGTTTTATTTTGCTATTGTATATTCCTTAAATAAAATTTTATTTAAGGTACTTAGTACTTTTAAAATTTATAAGTAATGAATTAAAAAGAAACATTATCATACTCTGATTAGTCATTATTAAAGCCTAGCGGAAGAAATGTGAAATTATCAAAAACCAATCTCTGTCAACTGTGACTGGGATATGTTTGCTTACTATAAGAACTATTTTCAGCTCTCCCTTATTTTTAGAAAACAATTTAAATTATTAAGAGCATAAGAAAATTCCACAAATTTATAAATTTTGAATTGCTTTAGAGCTTATAAAGTTAATGTGGTGTAGTATATAGAAAATTGCAGTTTATAGATCTTATGGTGTATTATCAATTAAAGTTACTGATTGCATTTTGCATGTTTTTTCAGGCCATGGTTCTCTTCATTGGAATTGAATCTTTTGAAGAAGAACTGTATCCCACTTTTCAGGAGTTATGCTTTGATCCATATCAAAGTGTTAGACAGAAAATGGCATGTGGCTTTTATGAGGTATGAAACAAAATTCATTCTATCATTTGACTTGTCATAGCACCTTAATTTAATCATTATACAGATTTAGCACAAATGAATGTTTCAAAGCTTTTGCACTTTTGCATCGTCAATGGTGTTTCAGGGTTCGTAGCATTTTTAAAAAGTACTTAAAGTTACTTATTTTCATTTTTTAAAAGCTCTTAAAGGTGCTTTTTTCATTGGGTGTTTTTAAAAAGTGCTTCTAATTTTCCTTTTTCCAAAATGAGATTTTTTCTCTTTACCATATCGATTTTCGCACGTATTATAAAATAGCGAGATTTTCTCATTGTTCTATTCAACGTTTTCACAATTCATTCAACCATAATCTATTTCGGCGTACCGTCGGTCCATAACGTATGAAAGCGCCAATCATTTTACAGATTTGATGAAATACTTGGGAGTCCGCATGTGCGTCTACTGAGCTGGGTTCGGTGAGATTATTGCACTCTCATGTGCAACTCTTGCATTTTGAAAGATACTCTCAATTTCAGGCTTCATTTTTGACCCTCTGATATCAAACAGAAAAATCTCCATCATTTTATAATGGCTAATGTAATCAAGAAAAGAGTTCTTTGTCAGAAGCTAGTTATTTTATCATGATCACTAAAAGTCTTTTAAAATTATTTTGCGTTTTGTTAATGTATATAGTGCTTAAAAATATTTTTTGAGTGCTTAAAAAGTACTTTAAAGGTGCTTATTTTTTGTTGAAAGATTTGGTTACACCTGTGTTTATAGTGCTGAATAAATTGTTCCTCTCATTTTAAGTTCTTGCAATGTTTTTCAGTATCAGTGTTTAATGAACAAAGTTACCGACAAAAAGAAATCACTTGCCAAACGATCAGTGGATCTTAGTGGCTATGTGGTTAAAGATAAATCACTAGTCACCCACCGGCCTAACACAAGGAACCACCAATACGTAAAACATTGCAAGAACTTGAAAAATGTATTTGTGCAGCTTTAGTAACCATTCACAATTTGAAACTGCGAGGACTGTTTTTTAAGTTTGAAGATGGAAATCAAATGAAAGAAAATTTTAAAGTAGCAAATTTATTTTCAAATTCTACAAACATTTCTCTTTCTTTCAACATTGTTGCCAAGTTTTTTTTAAACACTTATCATACCTTGCAACTAGGTTTAGAATACCCTTACGTAGAAACTTGCTGCTGCTCTGATAATCACGGCCATTTTGACACCTTTTCATTGTAGTAGTGGTTGCCGCCGAAATGATGGTTGAAATATCAGAAGAAAGGAAAATCACTCAGCTCAAGGTCTGAGATGTAAGGTGAGGTGGTCCAAAACTTCTGTGCCAAAAGAGTGCAATAAAGCTCTGTTGCGAAGAGAGTCATTGTCATGGAGTAGTGAAATTTCCTGTCAGCTTGGCAGTACGTTACTTCGTAAACTTCTCAAATCAACCAGTGATTGTATGCAACAGACAGATTTTTTACCCGTTAAAAGGAAAACATCAAAAATGGCACTGCTGATCTGTTCTCATGGGACAGTGGTGCTTTTATTGGTATTGCAAAAAGTATTTCCTGACCATGTCTAGCTCTTGATTTCTTTTTTACAAGACCGTTCAGAGAAGTTTCAAAGTCCAATGTGTAGTTATGAAGTTATTAAGTAATTGTTTTATATTATTTATAAGTTGAAAACAAATTTATTTATGAAATATTTTAACTTGAAATTAGAATTTTTATAGATTGTATATGAGTTTTATATGGTTATCTAAATGGTAGCAGAATTTCCAGCGTTAATCTGCAGTACTGTAATCAAAATTAGATTTTGTCTATGACTTCAATGCAGTCAGAGGTTATTAGTGTAAGAATTAAGCTTATTTTTAATTAAATCTAAAATTAAGCTTAAGCCATTTTTAATCTAAAATTAAACTTAATGTATTAAGCATAATTTGAAGATATTAAATATAAAGTTATACACAAAAGCTTTATGTTATGTAATTTTATTTTTATATAGTCACTCTTTAATTTTGCCTAAAAAATAGAAAATACAGATGCTATTACTAAACCCAAGAAAGAAAGAATAGACTTGCAGTTGATAATTTCAATATAAAATATTTTCATTCTAAAAGAAGAAATTAACGGAATTGCTTATTCTTATGAAACTTATTGCCATCACATGTACTTTGCAGATAAATAAAACAATAAAAAAATTCAACATTAAGAAATTGTCTTTTTTTTCGATATCAGATTTATACAAAAGGAAGGCTAATCCTTACTTTCCATAAATAAAGATGGGAAAAAAAATTCTTTTTTTTTTTTTTTTTTTTTTTTTTTTTTTTTTTTTTTTTTTTTAAAATTGTCGACTTAAGCNTTTTAATTTTTATTCATTTTCAGTTTTTCTGCTATAATTTTTTTTTATCCATTTATTTATTTAAGTTTAAAAATCTGTTGTGGAAAATAATTTGTTGAAACTGTGATAAATTTGCAGTGCTAGAGGATTTCTCCTACCAAGCTTATCTATAATTTATATGTTATGGAGATTCTTTTCTAAAATATTTATTCTTAAGCCATAACTGCTGTTATTTTTCGGGCAAAAAAAGTATCTGTAAATATATTTGTATGTCTATAAAATTATTCAATTATCTGTAGGAAATATGCAAATTTATTTTCCTTATTTTATACATGTTTGAATTTATGAGTTCCCCCCTCCTCCAGATTTAAAATTTGATAAAACTGTAAATATAACTATAAAATAGTAAATATAAATTATATTGTGTCATATTTTATGTAGATACAAATTTATGATTACAATGATGAATTAATTTTTATTTTATGTATAGATTGCTCGACTTCTGGGTTCAAAAGCATGCTTACTTCATAAAGAGCTTATTAATTTGTTGCAAGATGAAACAACTGAAGTAAAAATTTCATTGTTTAAAATAATTAAATATTTTACTTGCATGATTAAGAATATATGTGCTAAATAGTGTTGTAAATAATGATACCATGGTAATGTTAACTAAAATGTGATTTTACTAAAATTTCTAAACATTTAGAAAACTTAAATGTTGCTAATGTGGTTAAGTATTACAGGGCTTCTTTGTATATCCTTTTTCATCCAAAAAAAAAAATGACCGCATGCATGCCACACTGATTGTTAAGGTAATTAATCAAAATAAATAATAAATTAAATAAATAATGAATTAAGTGTAAATTAAATCGTAAATAAAAATTATAATAAATATTTTTTCAAAAATTCATTAAGGCAAAAATTAAAAATATTTTTGTTAGCTAAAATTAATTTGTTTTATTTATAAGATTAATTAATTTTTAGAAATTAACAAACAATATATAATGAAACCTCCAGGAAAGACCACCTCTGTGTAGCGACCACCTATTTATGACCACGTTTGGGAGGCACAGAATTTTTTCGTTAGACTTTCTGTTGAAGAAAACCTTTAAGGGAGAGTCCATCAATACATCACCCAACGACCGAGAAAAACCTCAGCACCTCTCTTGAGAACTCTTTTTGGCAATCTCGGCGAGAAATTGACAACCTCATTTTACAGTCAGAGTGCACTAAAGACAATACTATCAATGATTTAGTTTTAGAGTTAAAAGTTAAATTAGAAAAAATCATATAAAAAAAAAAACTAAGCATCTCAAGCAAACATCTTTTATTTTTCAAAATAAAATCATTTTATGATATAAAATTAAGTACAAAAAACAAAATGGTTTATTTATTTAAAATAGTTCTCTCATTTATAAGCGGTAAATTCATTTTTACACATCAGACATTATTTTACATTTAATATCAGTAGGGGTCATTTTATTGACGCTGAATTATATTCATCAAATTTCATTCAAGGTGCCAACACAAGTGGCATTTCTGCACCACGAAAATGAAGGTGAGTAAAATTTAAATCTCTACCGAAAATTCATGTACCTTCGAAAACATTTTGAAGGCGAGCGAGGTGCCCCCTAAGAACAACCAGCCTAACAATCATTTTACTGTGGAACAGAGAATGGTCCGCGAGAGATTTCACTGTAGTGGAAATAAAAAATGTCTTTGTGTTCTTTTAAACTAATAGATATTTAGATTTCCTAAGAATTCAAATTGTTTTTCTTAGAAAAAAAATTTAAGAGTTCAGTGAATAAAAAAATAAAATATCCATTTTAAAGTACTAGATAGAAGAACTCTGTAGCTACATTTTAATTATCCAATGAGGCATTTGTTTTATAAAACAATATGCAATTAAAAAAAAGCATGTAATTTTTAAATAATTTGACCTTAAAATTGAATATTGCCATAATTTAGTTCTATTTTTCTTTATTATAAAGGTATTAAAAGGTCTAATTCCTTATCTGCCTGAATGTTTGAAAGCTGTTTGCTGTTCCTCTAATTTTAAGGTAACTATTTAAATTCTTTTTAAAAAAGGTTTTCAATATGTTTTATTTATCTTAACCTTAATTAATTAGTAAAATTTAACAAAGTAAACTTTTAATGCTTTTAAACCATATAATAATACTCAAAACAGTTATTTTAATTTTTCATATAAGAGTGCACAACCTTGAGTAAAGGGTCGCTTGCCCAAATATTTAGACATGTTGACAGCAATTATGGGTAGTAATTGTTGAAAAAATATTGTGTTATGCACAAAAATTTTTTTTATCAGTTAACTTAGTAATATGTTTGCATAAAATTGCTTTTAAATGTTTAAAATTAAACACTACAAAACTGATTACTTAAAAAAATTTAAAAAAGAAAACATATAAATAGATAAAGAATACATTTATCAGAAAAAATCAGATAAATTGAACTGAATAAAAAGAATGGGAAAGTCATGTTTTTATTTCCCAATGCCCACTTGTTTTGACAAAATACATAAGTACATTTTAACATAAATTCTAATATTAAAGAAGTTGTACATAAAATTAAGCTTAAAAAATATTTTCAGTTCGGCTTTCTTTTCTGGATCTATTATTTTATTAAGTTATCATTAATCAGTAACTAATAAAATTAAAATGCTCAAATTCAGTTCTGTAAATGTTAATTACTTTATTGTTATAACTGATATTTAATTTGTTTTGAAAATTTTAGTAAATAATTTCATTGTAGGTTCTTTTTCAATTATTTTGTCAGTGAGTACATATTATAATTTTTAATGATATTCATTCTATTCCTCATATTTGATATTATCTGTCCAAGTTTTTAACAGAAATATTCTATTGCTTGAATCTGAATTATCTTCTAGGATAACAATGAAAATGACCTTGTGAAAGCACTCATATTGTGTGAAGAAACGACATCATTCACAAGCAGCTGGCGCCTACATGCTGACTTTTTATCCTGCCTCTCTTGCCTGCCTTCATGTGTTTCCTCTGAAACTATTTTTACTACTTTTGTGCCTTTACTGTTTGTAAAACTTCATACCGCTGTGAGTATAAGTTATTTTAATTCTTACTACTGGGTTATGCATTTTTATTGAGGCTCATTTGTTATGCAATGTTGAAATTTATTTATATTTGAAGAATGTTTTCTCAAACCCAGCATGACTATTGTTGTAATTTTCAAGTGAGGCTTATGACCGTGTATTCTTTGGGAAATTTTCATGATCTTGATCTCTCATTTGAATATACTAGTGGGCTGCGCCCCCTGCTCGCTAACGCTCGCCAACCCCCAAAAATTGCTACGCAATTTTATATGGTTTGCTACTAACTTGGGTACATTGCAAATGCACAAAATTCTAAGAATTCAAAACAATCATTCAAATCCATATAACAACTTTTTTTTTAAAAAAAGAAATACATCTTTTTAGCAAATACTAAGTCATTAAAATAAATTTGAATTGAAATAAATGACATGTAATTCGTTAAACCTATTAGAAATGAGCTATAGTATAAAATCTTAAGATAAAATTTCTAAAACTGATATCTCTTTAAAAAGTTTAAATTTTGGCTATAATTAAGTCTATTAAAAATTGAAATAAGTGAATTGTAATGGAAAAACCTGCATAAACAAAGCATTATGTTTTTAAAAAATAATAATCATGAATGATTCACAACTTTGTTAAAAACATTAGTATAAGTCTTAGAAGTTTGACATACAAAAGAAAAACTTAAACTAAACAATTTGCATTAATTTGCAATAAATACTAAATGCGAACAAATACTGAGAAAGATTAAGCGCTTTGTTAATAACAAAAAAATAATTACTATTAAAGATTAAGAACTTCCTTAAGCACACAATTATAAATTTCTGGACTTGGAGCTATCACTCACTGTTAGGCTGTCAAATAATCTAACCCTAGAGAGGCCAACATAAAGTTGTCCATGACTAAAAACTGGTTTAGTCTATATAAATTCGTGAAAAAAAGCGGTTTCGAAAAAATACTAAAATAGAGATCTATCGACAAAGACTACTCACTTCTGCCTAGCTTAATAGTATGAGATTGCAGCAGCTGAATTGAACAACCTGCCAATGCTGTCTCTGGTTATTTCAGTTTCCGTTTTTAAAAGCGCTATATGTTGAGCCACCTCAGCAAGATTTGGCATGTGACATTTTTAGTGACAATCATTGGTCGATTTTCTAGCGTTGCCATTCGGGGAGTTGTAATGTGGTTTTTTTTGTTGCCGTGTAAGAGAAATATATATATAGATGGGTCAAAATCGGCAATATCCTGTGTATGTTTAATGTACTTTTGATTTATTGCCCTTTTTTTTTATTACACACATTTTATAACATACTTTTTTTTTGTTTGATTGATCTTTTCTGCTATGGTTAACACTGAAATATTATATTGGAAATTATGTTTGACTTCAAATTCCATTTTATTTTAACAAGTACCTACTGTAATTTTGAAATATTCATATTAATTTTTAGAAAAATAAAGTCAAGTTACATACACAAGGTAGGGGTATCTTTGAAAATTAAACAAATAATTTCAAAATTTTGAACAATTTCTTGTTAATTTCTAATACATACTCAATGAAACTTCTGTGCATCTTTGTATTTAATTGTAATTTTGGTGACTTATTATCTAGTTTCAGTGTTCTAGTTATCTCTGTTTCAGTGTTCCATAGTAAAAGTGTGTAAATATTCTACACATTGATCTAATAACCATTTGTTTTCAATCTTTTATTTTATTTGTTTTATGAATTTAAATAATTTTTTTCTCATAAAAAAGACAAAATACTTATAATTTTAGCTTTTGCTAATATAGTAATACTGTTTTTAGTTTATGAATTTAATTGATTTTTTCATGTAAAAAGAGGCAAAATACTTTTAATCTTAAGCTAATATAGTAACAATACTGTTTTTAGTTTAATTTTCATTTCCCTGTGTTTAGCGTCCAATACCATGTAGAACTTCTGCAGCGTATAGTTTATTAGTTTTTCTGAGAAATGTGCCTAGTCTTGAAAGAAGAAAGGGTATTATTAATGAATTAATACGAGGTGAGTTTTTATGAAATAAAAGATTATCTGAAATTTTATTATTCTTGTATTGAACTTGATTCATTCTGTAAATAATTTTTACTCAAAGTAGTACTTTTTATTTATAATAATTTTTTTAATATATTAATGAGTATTAGTTTTATTCTTTGAAAGCCTTCCAAAACTTCTATCATTGTTTAAAGTATTTCAGTCATTTTTATGCTCTTCTGAATGTATTAGATCCAAGAAACAGTTTCAATCACAATGGAAGCAAATATATATTCCAAATTTTACTTGAAATTTATTTTCATTGCAATTAAGCTCAATTTGAAGTTAGAATTTGTTTAAATTATTAATCTTAGAAATTGTTTTAGTTTACATTGAAATGAAATTTAATGCAACTTCTTTAATCAGACTTCTAATTATGTGTATCTAACAATTTTTAATTGTTTAAAACACTTTTTAGTCAGGTATTTATTTATATTACAGTTAGATTTTGAGTATAAAAATTGTTTTTCCATTTCAATTATTTAAAAAGTTGTTTTCTTTTTAAATTTAACTTTGCATTTAAAATTGCACTTGCGTTTTAATCGAATTACAAACTATATATTCTTAAAAATAAAAACTTTTTAGTAAAGTGCTACTAATTAAATAACTGTTTAATTTTTTTTTAAATGATATGTTTTTATCATTATTATTCAAAAATATATGCATCATGTTTGTAAGGGGTTTAATTAGCTTAAGTTAATTTATTCAATTTAGCTAATTATGTAAAAGAAAGAAAATTAATCCTGAGAAAGTCATTGTTCAGCTTTTAAAATATCTGTTATGATAACCTATTATTATCTGTTATGATGATCTGTTATAATGATCTGTTATGATGATGTTTTTAAGTTTTGTAATTGCAAGTTATTAAATTGTTTTTCAGATTTATGCTATGGCAGAAGTTGTCATAAAAGAATGCTGTTCATAAAAGTGTGCGAGCTTGTAATAGAATTATTTTCTAAGGCATTTTTTAAAACCTATTTTTTCAAACCAGTGCTCAATTTATCAGGTAAATACAGTAAAGCTTTAATATGTGTAAAATATTTATTTAAGGGGTTTATGTGGTTTTGATTTTATCAAGAAAGCATCAATGTTCAACTTTTTATTTTCTTTCTATAATTTATGTAAAATTTTACTTGGGATTCTGATTTTTTACTGGAGTTTAACAAAAGCATAGATATTATTTAACTGCTAATGTTTTGTTTCTTTTTCTTTTTGAAACAATGCAAAAAACTTTTATGATTTAATTCTCTTTTAGAGCTAAAATTTGAAAAGAAAAAAAAGGATACTATGATGTCTTGCTCACACGATTAAAATTATAATAATCACATTATGAACTTGAAACATCTTTTAATAGGCAGTTGACTAACTCAAAATTGAAAACTAGCTCAAAACATTTTTTAAAAAATTGTTTTGTTAATTTAGAAAAAAATGTCTTTTATTATAAAAAAAATGACAAAAAAGATATAAAATATTCACTAATATTCAAGTGCTAGTGTGAATTTAAGCAGCATGCTATATTCAAATTCAAGAAATCTTGCATGCAAGGAGAAAAAACAGATTTTAAGGTAAAACTATGAATAAAATTAAATAAAATACTTGTGATATCAATTTTAAAAATGGATGTATTATTTTCTGTTTTCAATAAGTGGTTTTCACTATTTTTGCTGTAACTTTGGAAGTTTTTTTAATATTATCTTATACTTGGTGTCAAATCGCTCAGAATAACATTTTTTTTTTCTTCAAAAAATTCGAAACTTTTAACAAGAAGAACCATCTAGTACCCAAAGTGTCCTTTTAACATTACAGATAAGCTATTTTTTATTAGTATTTTCCATTTTATTGATAAAAAGGTTTCATACTAGTTTTTGATATTTGTAACAAATAATAATTTCTAATCATTTTCTTTAGTACAAATATGTATGTCACTTTTAAATAAAATACATTAGACAAAAATGTATTTATTATTAAAGCTTTAATGTTCTCCGTAATTAATGTTTATTTTTAACATAATTTATCTTCAATTTTAGCATTTAGTAAATATGGAATAATTGAATCAGTTTTAGCATTTAATTCGCATATAAAAAACATGGTTAAATTTTGTGAATTTTAAAATTTAATGACTTTTTAGCATGCATTAATACAGTTATAAGCGATATATAATGATTTTATATATCGCTTATAAACTGCTGTAATTTGTTCATTTGTCAAGATTCTAAACAGGCTAGTAAAGCTACATTTTTGTTTCTAATTTAAATATTTACTCATTGCCATTCTTTCATAAATCATTATATTTTTTCTGATATTAGCTGATCCTGTGCCTAACATACGCCTGCGTTTATGTGCAATTCTTCCTCGCTTAAAGAGTTTAATTAAGCTGCCAAAAGATAGCTCTCTTCTTCAAGAATTAGAATCATGTGTCAAAAGATTAATGACAGATGAAAGTGACAAAGATGTCTCTTTTTCTGTTAGCAAAGTATGTTTGTATTTATATATTTGTCAATTAAGTATTTATTCCAATAATTTTTTAATTATTCCTCATATTAGTTATAAAATATTACATTTCTATTAACTATTATTTTCATCAGTTTAAAATTTTGTGCCGTATTTGTTGCTTTAAAATTCAAAAATAAATCTTATCTTTTGTGACTTTTAACTAAGTAAATCTAAAATAAAATATTTTTAAAAGAAGCTTTGTGGTAATTAAATAATTTACATCAAATTTGAATTCAGCCAATTTTTGACAATTTTTAAAATCCTTAATTGTTGATTTTTGTATTTTTATTCAGGAAACTATATTTTATTTTATATTTTAAATCTTTTACATACACAAGTGCAATTATTAATAAATTTCCATTCTAATTGTCCTTATTTTAAAACTTTTTTCTGAAATTACTGATTATCTACATCTACTTAAGAGTACAATATCATCAGAAAAGCACATAGCTGTAAAGTTTTATCTCTCCTACTTCTAAAAATATATGTAGTTCGAATATTTAGGTATTTCAACTTTTTTATCTGGTCACTTTGGTTTCAAATTTGACTGTATTAGATAAAACACATTATATAAGTTGGTTATTTAAACTATATAAATACCTCTACTTGTTTTGATATAATTGAACGAACGTTTTAAGTATAACCCTTTTACTAATACTTGAATTATCATTCTTTTTGTCTCAATAGGCCATTGAAGAACTTGACAAAATCGAAGTGACAGCTGAACCAGTAAGTTACCTGTTATTATGTTTACTATCTACCAAATGTAAAATTTCTTTCTTGTACATTTTCTTTGCATTTACAAAAAATAGTTTTTAATCAAGAAAAACATATAAGCCCTGCTTTAAAATGACTTTATGTGCAAAAATGAAGTATTACAAAATTAATTAAAGAATTACATTTTGCATCAAAGCCATATAAATTGTGATGGCATAGTAAGGCACTGAAATTTCACTGTTGTTGAGGTCCTATTTCCACTGACTATTTGAGATATGTATTATTATTATTGTTATGCTGGTTGAAGCCAAACCACCTTTTGATTACTTGAACCAGCTTTCTTAAACTTCAGTAATTTTGATCTTTCTTGGACATGCGTAATCATGCTTATTGTCTCAAAGTTATGGAAGGGCACCACAATTTTGAAACTAAAGACTCTGAGCTTTATACTCCTTGGCACACTTTGACCACAACTATCTGTTGAGGGATTGATTTTTTTATGATTGATGCCTGTTATTCGATTTATTGATTTAGGGATTGATGCCTGTTATTCGATTTATTGTTGTTGTTGTTTTTTTTTAATTGTATTTGTCAGTTGATTCCATACAGGAGAAAGTTATCTCATTTTAAAATTAGATTTGAACAACGTAGGAAAATAATAATACATAATATTTACTCTTTTTGATTGTGAGAGAATAGAATGTTATCTGATCTACAGAAAAAAACTAAATCTAAAAACCCACCATTCATGGAAATTTTCTTTATTGTCTCACATGACTTATTTCTCAATTGTTACAAAATATTTCATTTATGAAGAGAAAGGATTTTCCTAAATGCCATAGAATATTGCTGTTAATGCTGTGTTTAGTATTGTATGTTGTTCAAGTATACACTGTTTTCTGTATTATAAATGTCAAACTTGCAACTTAATATGCCAAGTATATGTATTATATTTGTAATATTTTTCTGAGTAAATTTCGAGCTGATAAAAATAAAATTTTGTATATTAGATTTCCAGACGTTCCTCTTGCATAGAAATCGCTTTAGATATAGAAGATAGACTTAAGGAAGAAGAAGAAAGAAGGCAATTAGAAATGGTGAATGCATTTTATTATAAACTTTAATCAAAAATATTATTTTGATTGTATAAAATTTATTCCTCTTTGCGTGTTAATAATAAAAAGATTCTGAATTCGGTTCAATATCTATCATAGCTTGTAAGATTCAATGTTTGTATAAAGAACAAGTTCTTCATTTTCAAGATATTTTTCTAAAAACAACTTTTTTGTGACTTAAGTGATATGGTATGAAGCTAAAAAGGACCTTTTTCCTTCTTATAATTCTAGTTTAGATTCTAATTTTTTAATACTTTCCTGATAATAGTTTACAAATCAAATGACATAAATCCTTTGGTAGTTTAAAAATTGTGATTAAAAGTGATTTAAAAATTCTTTATCGCGATTCATATTCAAGCAATTTAACAATTAAACATCACATTTGCATACCCTCCAACTTATGAGGATTTTGAAAATAATTCTTTCTAGTGGTAGCGATCCAAAGTAGAAATTTTTAAAGCAAATGGATCTCTCATAAAACTTTTATCAGAACATAAGAATCCAGCCATATGGCCTGCACTTTTATAAGTAATAGTGGACAAGTTACGCTAAAATAAATTTTTTTTTAAAAATAAAGACATTAATTTTGCTACCGTCTGAAAAGAAGATTTCTGAAACTACGGAAATTCCGTAGCAGTTGGAGGGTATGCATTTGTAATTGCATAATTTAAAAATTAAACCAAATTATTGGTTTTCATATGATTTGAAATTGCACATCATGTTTCATATTTATGTGATTTAAAAATCTCATCGTAATTTGTATTCATGCGATTTAAAAAAGCTCACAATGCAATTTGTAATCTCCTAATTTAAGAATTACATATTGTGAATCGTATTCATGCGATTTTAAAATCACACTTTGTGTTTCATATTCCTGTTATTTGAAAATTGTACATTATGATTGGTATTCATGCAATTTTAAATTACAAATTCCATTCAAGATGATTTGTTTTAAATACTGCATGTTGTGATTCAAAAGATTAATAAATTACTCATCAGGATTTAAAAATCCAATAACGTGTTTCCTATTCTTGCTATTTTAAAATCAAACATCGCAATTCATATTTTTGCAATTTAAGTGTCACACTTTGCAATTGATGTTTACACGTATATGTTCATCAATGCATTAGTGCATTAATTAATTTTAAAAAAGGTTAAAAATTTTAAGGCACATTTGAATGTGAGAATAAGTGAAATATAAATATTTCAGTGAGTGGAGTTTGTATTTTATTCTGTTTTAAATTTTATATATGTTTATTTTGTAACTAAAACCCACTTCGTTTACGAAGCATTTTTTCGGGTTGAATAAAACGTAACAAAACTGGTTACAGAAATGAATTCATCCATATTCTGATATAGTGTGACTGTCGTCTTGAGTCTGTCTTCTTTATCAATATGCTAAGAATAATTCATACATTTTGAATGTGTCCCTATCTTAAAAACTATGTATCGTGATTAATATTCACCTGATTTAAAAATCAAACATCGCACTTCATATTCACGTGATTTGTTTCAAAGATAATCAAATGCTAAAAAGCTGTCTAGCTGTCACTTTTGTATCAATCTGTAATATGTATAAAAAAATGTGTTAACTACTGTTCATTTATGAAAATTTTAATTGGTGGCTTATTATGCTTTGTGTTCCTATTTTTGTTTTTGACAAATTGACAGCTATGAAATTATACATTTTTTTTTTTTTAAATAATGAAAAAATTCTCTGGGCCAGGAGAGTGGCATGAAAACCTTTGGACAAACTTTCAAACGTTGCAACATAATAAATTGAATAGATTCAAAAAATATTATTTTACACCTTCAAATATAGTTTAATAACACTACTTAATTATTGAAATGTTGGCAGAAAATTTTTTAAATAAATTTAATAAGTTTTAGTCAGGCAAAGGAGAGTGACTTTTAGGTAATTATGAAATTTTCTAGATGATTGTAAATCATTAATATTTTTATATGCATCGGAAAAAATTATGTATAGAAAGTAACAATTTTCTATTTCAAGATCCTGTAATATTTTGTTTGAACATGATATTGTTAGATTTATAAAGTATCACCCTTTCAATTTCTCATTTCTGCCTAGCTTGTTTTCAAAATTGCCATAAACTTATTTGAAAGGAAGCATTCTCATTTCATGTGCTGAGGAAAGCATATAAATATTGCACCAATTGGATTTAAAAACAGGCTTCATTGAATAATTTTATATCCCAGCAAAAAACAAAAAAATGATAATAAATAAATAAAAAAATTATAATACTGGATAATTGTATTTTACTTTGCAATTTCAAAATTTAGAACAGTTTATTCCAAGTTACTGTTTCAATTATGAAAAACAGCAATAATCCTTCAATTAACAGTATGGCAATAATAGTGAGGAAATAAACCAAATTATTTTAAAAACTACTAACATATATTTTTTAAGAAATAATACAAACACAGGTTTTTTTTATATATAATTCAATAAGTTTAATTTTTCCTTCCTTTTTTAGGAATTCAACTCAAAATGTATGCAAGAAAATACTCTACCTCAAACCTTGCTTTCTATAGGAGCTGTAAATAAAGCCGGAAAAATTCCTGTTAGAAAAAGTAAGACTGCTTTTATGTAAAGGTTTATCTATTTGTTTAAAAAAATTCATAGTATTTGACAAGAGTGCAGAAAATTCTCAGAGTTTCATATTTTCCCAGAACACAGTTCTTTTTTGTTTGGAAATTTCCAGCAAAATTCTAGTGCTTTTTTTCATAACAATACTTTTTTCAAAATATTTTTAGAAACTGAAGTTTGTATATTGTAAAAAATTTTTATAATTTTTTTCATCAACGAAGAAAAAAAAATCCTTTGATTTTATTCAATTCTTGAATAAATTAGTATTAAGTTATGTTGAAAATAAGGAAAATTAAAACAAATTGAAATAAAATATGTTTATAAGACTAAATATATTGATAGAACTTAAGGAGTTCTAACTAATAAATAAGTAAATTGACAAATGACCAGACGTTCATGTTATATTTAATGTAAGAGAAATATTATTTTTCTTTTAACATGACAGAAAATATTTTTTTCACTTTTGTCCATCTAGGTGATGCTTGTTCTTCTTTCTTGTAAAAAAAATTTCTGCGGTAATAATTTTCCCTTCCAATTTTTCAACAAGGGAAAATTTTGTAAAACAACCCAATTGTTTTACAATAGAAAATTTTATAGTTATTTTTTTCTTTATTGAACCAAAAATTTCCAATTGATAATATTGTATTGAAATATATTTTGTTTGAATTTTTTTTCCTTACACGTATCTAATTTATTTATATTTTATTGCACTCATATATTATGTTTAAAATATTTTATAATGCTGAAAATTTTGATTAATAAATTGTAAAAAGAATCTGAAAAAACTGAACAATTTTTCTGAAAACATGAAAGAGTTTAATTATAAGAAATGATATTGGACAAGTCATGTAATAAAAAATTAAAAAAAAGAAATTGTAGATGCTATCTGTTAATTTTCTCAGTACACTGTACAACAGTGAGTGAAGCACAATCATGTTTTCTTTTAAAGTTATAAATATAGTTATAACTATTTCATGCCATCCAAATTATATAGGTAACTATGCTTTCATGAAAATATTGTAGTGGTAATGAGGAATTAAGATTCTTCTAAGAAAGATATTAGTATATTTTTCTCTCTGAGTAATTACACTGATTTTGACTTATACTATGTATTTCAGCTTAATAAATAAGAATTGCATGATATTTGCCATCAATTTATATTTTTGTTATTCATTCTACAACATTAATTATTACTCAAATAAATCATTTTTATTGTAAGAATCAACAAATAAATTGCCTGTATCTTACCATTACTATATTTACAGTTTAATTTTCAATTTACAAGATTAACACTTTAGTAATTTTGAAGACAACATTTTTTTATTTTGTAAAATTTCATTTATGAATCATGGGATTACTTTTTTTTTAATTTAAATGTTTAGTCCATTGTCATAAATTAGATATGATATATTGCTAATCTGTCTGTGTTCTTTTAGTTAATTGTTTCCCTAAATAATATAAAAAAGGGAAAATTTAAAGAGTCTTTATTAAAAAAAAAAATTTAAAAAAACTTACAATTAGCCATGTTATATTTTTTTGCATTTGTATTGTTTAATAATTAACTAAATCTGAAACATGTAGCATAAATGGCTAAATTTTTGCTCTTAATAATAAAGCTTAATTTAATTATTTTATGTTGAAAAATGAGTGCTTGTTAGTGGAATTGTACATATATTATTATGTGTAATTTTAAAACAGATTTTATTACTTCTTTAGGTGGTACGCTTCCAAAGCAATCAAAACCAAAATCTTCTCCAAAGGAAGTACTTGAAAAAGTGCCCTTATCTAGTCAACCTAAATCCCTAAGAAGTTTGTAATCTTAATTACATACATTTATTTCAAATATTATGATGCATTACCACATCCATATTTTTTTTATTAAACTTTAAATATTTTGTGTTATTAGAATTCAAACATAGAGTAGCACAGGAAAACAGGAAATTTTGAAGTAACCTTATTTGCACTAATAGACATAGATTAAAAGAGAAAATTAAAAAATGTGCTCCCTGTTAAGAGTTTCCATTCTTTTATCCTTTCCTGTTATGAAAAATTCTTTAGTGCACGGTTTAGAATGTCGCTTATATGTTTCAGTTCATTGTTAGTTGCAAAATATTTGTAGTATACACAAGGTGTCCAACGGAGTATTGTCCAATTTCAAAATTTAAAATCTGATGACCTAGCTAACCACCAATCACCAAACCGATTACTTCTAGCGTTAAACAGTGATAGGAGCATTTTCTACCAGTTAAGGAGGTTTGAACCTTATATTCAATTGAATATTGCGTTTTTTTAGCACTGGAATATCACTGATTAGCTATAGTTTCATACATTTGTATCCTTTACGAGGACTCTGTGCATCATACAGGAGCATCTGTTAGCAACTTTTGTAACTAAATTCCTAAATTATTGCATAAAATATATGCCGTCTTTACTATTTGTTTCATTCCTATATCGTCCTTTGTTCCCAAAATTTTTATTTTTAAAATCAGTTGGTGTGGGAATGAATAGAGGGAGCTAGCCAAGATGAAACATCCTGTTATCACACGCAAAATATCCAAATGCTAAGATTGGAGTATTTCGCAAGTCGTGGATTATAGCTGTTGAGTGAAATGACACGCTTTCTGAATGTTTTGCAATATTTGAATGCTGTATGATAAGCTGTTCCAATAACTGTGCATTGAAGTCGTGCATTACTGTCAGAAGCGCGCTCAAAAGAAAATTTAATTTTGAAATTCTTAAGTTTTTTAATGTTTTCTAAGCTGCCTTAGTTTTTTAAGCTGCCTTTAAACTTAACTCTAACCATATCCTCAACTAATGAAATGACTGTTTTTCCTTGGCAATTAAGCTCTAAAATTAAGCATTTAAAAATGAGTGTTATGGTATGGTTATGTAACCAAATGTATACCAAAACTATATATAATTTTTCAATTTCAAAAGTTTTTTTTTTTTTATCAAAAATGTTAATGTAGAAAAATGTGTGCATTTATTGAGTGAAATTGTCTATTTATTTATTTTTTTAATTTATTAATTTATAAAATGTCTTGCAGTTCTTAAAAAAGAAAGACGCATTTCTAGTCCTGCATTATCTACTGACTTACTTATACCAGTAATTAATAATAAAGATACTACAAGATCATTGTCACCCAATGCCAATGTACTTAAAAGTTCTTCAGCCAAAGACAACATTCCAAAGCATAGGTAATAAGTGTATTTCAAAAAATTTTTATATCTATAACACATGTATCAAGTATTAAGCAAGAATTCGAATAGAGTATAAAATTGAGAATTACTGATCCTAATTGGTTGAGACTTAAGAATCTCTAACATTTAACTTGCTAAAATTGGATCTCACAGATCCTAGTTGATTAAAACCAAAGTCACTATCAAATACAGTACAGATTATTATATACATCATTATTAAATTTGAATAAAACATCTACCTAATAAATCCTAATGTTGTACAAAGGCATTATTACCAGACATTGATTAGTGATGTATTATCGAGTAATATTTTATTTTTCAGCATGTATAACGTAACTTCTAAACCAAACAAGATTGGTTAGATCTTGTTTTAGCCAATTAAATGTAAAAGTGCAAGATATTCTTCAGGCTTGAAACAATTTAAATTGGTAATCCTACCTTTAACCAGTTAAGCCTAGGTTTACCTTACATTCATAATTTATAACTAACTAGGGATGTAACGAATGTTCGGCCACTATTCGGCTCTTTTGCCGAATGTTCAACTGAGGATTTGGAGAAAAAAAATTTTGGCAAAGCTTTTTTGGGGGAAATTTTACAAGATTCAATAAAGAATTGTATAAAATAATGTTTTTTACTATTCATTATTAGTTTTAACGCATAATTGTTAAGTTCTAAAACTTGTTAACTTAGGTTTTGAAAAACATGTGGAAAAGCGAACTATGAAGAATTTAAACTAAATTACGTTATACTGTACCATGAGTTTTGTAATGCTGATTCTCTTTCTTTCTTTCTAATTATATTCATGCAAGTCAATTTCATCATTTTTTTCACACTCCATGTCTTAAAAAACGAGAACTCTTTTTTTAAAAATATTTTTGCTTATTTTTCTTTTTTAACTTTAAAGAAAGCATGTTTTCTTGTATGGGACAAATAACTAGTAACATAGAAAACTGTGATTCTCAACGTTAAAGTCATATTTTAGAACTGAAAATTTTTTTTTGTTTTGTTTCTCTTTTGATATTTTTATTAGCTTTTCTTTCTATCAGCACTTTTATTATGACAGCATTTCTGAGTTATGTATTTCTAACTATTTCTGAGTAAATGTATTAATGACTAATTTACTGTGCAGTTAAATCAGAAAGTCTGGAATTATGATTTGCCATAAATCATTTTTCTCCTGCTGGGCTACTACTTTTTAATTTGTTTGTGTATTTCGCAAAACATCTCTCATATTTTAAATCAATAAGAATTCGCTATCAAGAATTTAATTGCACTAAAGGTATACTATTGATTTTATTTTACAGACCCCACAGTCCAGCACAAAAACAAAGGACGTGGCCTCGACAAAAACGTTCATCTTTCATACCAAAGCATTCACTTGACAGATGCCCATCACCAATGCCTCCTAGACGTCTCTCAGATATAAGCAACAAAGAAATATCGTCCGAAAAGCACAACAATAAGCCTTTAATCAGTCCTTCAGAAAAAAATTGCAATAAACCTTTAATCAGTCCTTTGGAAACAAATTGCAATAAACCTTTAATCAGTCCTTCAGAAAAAAATTGCAATAAACCTTTAACCAGTTCTGAAAAAAAGGTTTTAAGTAATAATTCTTCATCACCTCATGTTAAAGAATCTCCCGTCAAACTTAGAAATCATTCATCCAAAATAAGCCAAATTTCTCCCTCATCACCACTGAAAGTTATAGAAATAAGACGAAGATCTAAAGGATCACTTTCACCATCTCCAGGTATAACAATGAAATTATTTAAGTTTTTATAGTAAACTCAACCTAAATTAGTTAATAGAACCCAAACCCCCCTCCCCAAAAAAAAACTTTTTTAAATGTTTGATTTGAAGTATTTTGCATTAATAATTGGAAACTCTAGGAGAATTAGTGTTCCCTTAAATTAGCCAATATTTTGTATTATCAACATTCGAATTAAAGAGAATCCACTGAATTATACAAAATTTAGTTATTATTATAATGAAATTTCATATAATACAGTGGACTCTGTGTAATTTAAATGCTGATGATTCAAAATATTGGGACATTCAAAGTAACATTCATTTCCCTAGAATTTCCTATTATTTAATGCAAAACTATTAATCAAGATTTTGCTTGCAGTTTTGATTGACTAGAAATATCCAGAGAAATTCGAAAAATTTTATTCTTTGTCTAAACTTCATGGCGGGGGTGGTGGCCCTGGGTGGAATGGGTGAAGTACGTCCGGAGCTTTATACTCCTGGTAGGGTCACCCAAGGTGTGAAGGCCATTCCACTGTACCCAGCTAAAGCACAAAGGCAACAAACAAAGTCAGTCTTCTTCCCTCGTTCGTCCACGGTTCTAGTACCAACAGAAGCTGCACACTTCTCCTTCAATGCAATGTGCACCAGGCTACACCTGATTAAACGGTGTTCTGGACTTTCTTGTTCTGAGCCAGGTGGAATAAGTAACAACAACAACAGCTTATTCAATATTTTTCCTACTAATTAATTAGTTTTAAAATGAAAGATTTTATAAACAAATATAAAATAAGCCAACTTTAGCAAACAGTTGCACCAAAATATTTTAAATACAATTAACTTCCGATTCTCAGCCGGCAGTAATGAAGCAAAACAATAGTTAGATGCTTAATAATAAAGCTACATGTTTCTAGCCCATTTTGTATGCTTTTCAAATATCTACTTAATTATTTTAGAATGAAGTTTTATAAAATTTATTTTATGAATATTTTGTTCTTTCCTCCCATGTACATTCATAGAAGAGTATAGAGTAGCAGTTTTTATCTAATCTTCTAATAATTTATAAATCCACTTTTATATCAAGATTATTTTACTTATAAATTTTAAATCGAAGCTTATAATAAAATTCAAAAAAATTTGTGAGTAAGAGAAGCTAATTTTCATTACTAACTTGTAATATACTTCTTACACTAAATTCAGAGTTGAAATCCTCAAATTTAAGTAAACAATACAATTTAAGTAAGCAATAACAATACGATTAAGTAAACAATACGATTTAAGTAAACAACACAATGAAAACACTTTAATATCAGTGGATGAAAATTCTGTTTTTATTTATTTTAAAAGTACTATCTCATTATTTAAGTGCTATTTAAGGTGTGTACATATTTATATTTTTAACATTTGAAAAAGATCTTTCACTTTTAGCATTTCTAAGTGCATTAATTGTTTTTTATAGAAATTCTCAAAAGATCCACTACTAACAGCTTTAACACGGAAAGTAAAATTCCAACTTCATCCTCTAAGTAAGTTGTTGACTTCTCACTGATAATTTACAAAAATAAATTTTTAAGCTCTTATAAAATTATATTTATGCATTTATTTAATTTAGGAAAACTGTTTCTAAAGGAAAATAAACTGTTGAATTTGTTAAGTGTGAGAGGAAACCAAGAAAAATTGTTCTATGTTGCAATTCTACAAGCGTCCAAGTTTGAATCTCGCACATCAATGCAATTTTGTTTTCTTTGTTATAGACTTATTCTATTGTTATTATAAATTAGTAATGTGTGGTGAAAAAAACTTGGTCCAAGAAATTAAATCATCAAGCAAAATTTTAAAAAAAAATACAGTAGAGCCTCATTAATTGGGACTGTTGCTTCCGATTATCGAAAATTTGTACTGTCTAAAATTATAATTGTGAGAAATTTCATAAATTATTATTTTTATTTTTTTTTGATGCACTAAAGAGATGCATACATTTGAAAATTTTCGCTTACTACGTAATACTTTTTTGTACAAATCATGTTTTTTGCTGCTCATTTTCTGACATTGTACAGACAATCTTATTCACAAGATAAACAAATTACAAACACTGAGTCGCAATTTTTCAGTTACTTTATTTAGATTTTTGTTCGCATATATTATGAATCTCACGTTTGAATAACATTGCAGTGTAATTCTGTTTTTTTTTTTTGTTCCAATTAATCTATATCACACTTTTTTATGATTGTTTTATACCAGGGGTTTCCAACTTACATGAGGCCGAGGGCCACAATTAAAAACACAAATCAAATGGCGGGCTGCAACTTAATCAAAATTTTATGTAGGACTCTTTTATGCTTGAAGGAACGTTAAATATTATTGTCAGATTTTTACCAAGTTGTACAAAACAATAGTATTGAATTACAAATTAAAGTAAGTAGATTTTAAAAATATTTAATAGCATATTAAAACATTTGAGCTACAATAACTTTAATGTGCACCTATGTATTAAACAATTAATGTGCAACAGATATCTAATTGTTAAGATATAAAACTTTAAAAAGGTTGGTATTAATACTTACGTAGTAGCCCACAAAATGTTCAATGAGAAAATTGAGGTTTGTCTGCTGCAACCACCGGAGAATAGATATTTACGTTTTAAATTTAAAATTTACAAATGTGTGTGTTAATATTTTCGTCCAAAACGAGTGGTTTCAAAAAGTTAAATCGGAGGATTTCTTCGAGAAAATTTCTGATACGCACATGCTAAATTATATTCACAAAATACAAAAAAAACTAAATAAAAAAGAGCAACATACATGATTATTTTTGTATTTGAATAAATGTTTTCTTGATGCAAAACCTGAGAAATAAATTTTCCTGCACCGTTAGTATGTTAAATTTCACTGAAACGAAGAAATTAGGTTTTTATTAACGAGAAAAGTATTTTAAACCCATACAGATTTTTTACGAAAATTGTTCGCAAAAATATATTTTAGTTATTAATATATTTTAGTTCGCAGGCCACAAAAAAAGGCTTTGCGGGCCGCCAGTTGGAAATTCCTGTTTTATACACTTAAGCAATTCTAGCATTTGAGATTATGAGAGTTTATTTTGTGGGAGTTCGCATGGTCCACCCTTAAATAAAATCTATATTGTCTTCCTTTGAAAAAAAAAAATATTGTATTACTCATCGAACTGTTGTTTTATCTCGGTTATATTGTGAATTTTTTTTTAAGATTCTATTTCTTTTATATATATTGTTAGGAAGTAGTATCGCTTCAGATCATTTTTTATTATGTGAGATTCTGCTGTACTGAAAATGCCTGTTTCTTCACTAATCTGAATGTTAAAAATATTGTAATATAATAAAATAGGCCAAAACATTTTTCACCATACATTACTCTTTTGATATTTTGTGACTCGTATCCAAGCATGCTAGTGACCCGGTGTTATTATTTTATTCCGATGTTTTTAACTAACCCTTTGTAATTATATCGTATCAAAAAGAATCTTCTGTATCGAATAAAAAAATTTTCACATATAAGCATCAATCCTAACTCATTCAATACTGGTGAGTTTAAAAATGTAAAATGCTGAACTAAAATTTTATTTTTGGTAGATGAGAGCTAAATTCTAAAATAAATAAATTATCAAATTTTAAAACCTCTATCTTTTTAGCATGTGAATATGTTATCGTAGTTTAATAGCATTTTGCTTTAACCTTCAATACAGCTTTACCTAATACGAAGCAATACAATCAATAATTAACATGATCTATATTTTTTTAAAAAGTCTTAGCAACTAAAATATTGAAATAATTATATTTTGCTTTCATAAACTAATCAATTCGTATTTACGAATAATATCAAAGTTATTACATAAAAAGGAATAGATTATATAGACTATAGATTTTTCAAAAATATATATAAATTTCATGACCTGTATAGCATAATATGAATATTTTAAGCACAAGGAATTTTTTGTCAATAAAATACAAAAATATATTACACTGCTAATAGTTTCCTATAAATTTAATTTGACTTATTTATGAGTCCAATTGCATACCAATACTTTTTAAGTGAATTTTCATTATATTATATATTACTCTACCGACAATATATTGTTAATTATTATTTACATTTTAGCTCTTGTCAAGCAGTATTCTTTTAAATTTGTTTTCATATTATAATTATGTGATGCAAAGAATGTCTTAAATGCAATAATGTACCAGTGATGTAATAAAGTGCAATATGTCGTTTTTATATACAAGTTTTTAGTTTTTTTAATTACTGAACGTTAAATAAAAGCTTTAGAAATTTTTTTAAACTTTTTTACCATCAATCTTAAGAGTAGGTTCAACTATACTCTGAAAAATAAGAGAAATTATTAGAACCTACACTTAAGGTAGTTGACAGCTAAATTGCTTGATAAATTAGAACTCAACTTATACTTCATAGAATATGTATATATTATGGAATAGATAATAGTTAACTCAATAATTAACAGCTCAAGATAATCTGATCTTCAATAACAAACACAAGGTTTTCTAACCTAATATTAAAAGTGTTATTTGTTGTGATTAAAAGGGTATAAGAAAAAGATTTTTGTTGGAGAATATTGTATGTTAAAAAGGACACATCCTAACTTATTTTTCGTGCCCCTTCTATGAATTTTGAAATATTGGACGTTAACGCTTAAGCTGAACAAGTGAAGCTTGTTATTTTAGTAATAACTTCCTGGCATGTTATATTTAATGGAGAAGAAACACACCCAACCAAAGGCATTAATCAACAGTTAGGTGAAGAACGAAAATTGTTTACTGTTTTGGAACAAAGCTGATTTTTGCGCAAAATTGGACTCAAGTCAGGCTTTTTGCCTGTGCTTTATTTGGGCCGATTTCATTGTAACTATGGAAAAAAAAAATCTTTTTTTTTTAAAGGCAGTTATTGCTGGTTTGTAAAATACCGCAATTTTACTACCTCTCGCGAGTTTCAAATCGCACATTTAAATAAATACTTTTCTGACACGATATTTTTTTTTCTTTGCCAATTCCATCGTAAATCAAAGGTATTTTCAACCATTTTTCGTCAGTTTTTGTGATGCTTTCCCACGTGGTTATTATTACATGCGAATTGTTAATGTCTCATTTAAATAATTACTTATCGACTCGCTTTATTTGTACTGCTTCCATCTCCATTGTAAATCTAAGTATTTTTCTTAAAGGGAGTTATTGCTACCCTTATTCACGAGATTTTGACCATTCCGTTACTTTATGTTAAGACATGCGAGTTACTACTCTCACATTTAAATTAATAATAAAGCGCTTCTTTTTCTGAATTCATCATAAATCACTCCATTTTAACATGCGAATTTTATCACGCATTTAAATTACTTATTGACTTGCTTTACTTGTAATGATTTCATCGTAAATCCAAGCATTTTTCTTATAGGCAGTCATTACTTCACTTTTCCGCGATGGGTTATCTCGATCCAGATTGGTTGTTGAAACGTAGCATTTGTTTACGTTATCAACTGTTCTTTGCATTCTATTTCCCAAACCCGTCAAGTATCAATTCTCCTAAGTGACACATTCTGTATTCTTTCACAAAGATTTCAATTCTCTCAGTATATATTTCTTATTTAACACAAAGCCATGCATTCGAACGTTACTGAATTTAGAATCCCGATATTCAATTAGAAGATTATTGCAACCTGAATAATTCAAAAACCGGTAGAAAACGAGTTTTTAAACTGCTCACTGTTAGCATTTTTTTTTGCTTTTTAGGCTAGGCTTTAGGTGACATTTTTAGTAAAAAACAAAGAAAACGTTTTCTATTTAACACTCATAAAACTTTGTACTATAATGGTTTTAATTTTTGGTTAAATATTATAAATTTTCTTTAATTAAATGTATTTTTTTACACTTTCATTCTGTGAACATACATTTTTTCAGAATTTATATTTTTCTTCTAATATTATAAATCAATTATTGATGAAAGGGAATCATATTCACTAAATATTCTTGCACCCCTAGGCATAAAACATATTTTTAGTCTTCTTTTTTAAATACGAATTAAAATGTGCTTATGTTTAACTATTCATTGATCTAGATTTAGCTTTAAGTTTAGTTAAAAGATGAGACTTCATTATATATTTTGATGAGCAACGAGAATGCCCATGTGGCCAAGCTTCAATAAGTCCAGGGCAGATCCAGACTTATAAGACAAATATTTTCGTGAAACTCTATAACACTTGATGTTAGTTCAATGGAAGAGAACCTATGTTCTCAGTAATTTTTAACATCCTAAATTTCTTAAGAGCTACAAAATGGCCAACCGAAATAATCAACCTTTTTTGGCAGAACCAACTTTAAAAAGGTTATTATGAATGGCATAACCTGCAGAAGATTATTAAAATAATTAACTAGAAATATAAGTGCTTCTTTTCAAAATTCATTCAATATTAGAAATATTATGTTTTCTTTTAAAAAAATGCTCTTTCTATTTTATTTTACTTAAAGTTTTTGCTGATTGAAGGCAATCATGTCGAAAAACCCTTTTCGACTAAGTGATCAATCACGTTTTTGAACTATTTTAACTCCTTTTGTTTTGACTACTGTTAAATATCTTAATTTTGGTGCAGAAATTTTTTATCTAATCAGTTAATTTAATTATTGAAAATAAAAATACAAAAACACTCAGTCATATTCATTATATGCAAAATCTATATTCATTTAGTCCTATTTTAACTCTTCGATTAACCCGAAACATGAGATTACAAAAAATGTAGTTTCGAAACTCTACTCCAAGTTCATTTTTGTATGAATAAGACCAAAATCCGAAGACTATTCTTTCTATTGATGTAAAGTTGCTATAGGAAATCGATTCTAACTGAACTAAATATTGACAGTAACTCATTTTGAGAATCAAGAATAAAATTGAGATTAGACAATCAGCAGACACGTAAGTTTTACCTTACATTAATTTAAATTATCCTAATTCAACAAATTATAATTCGTTAAAAAAAAAACTTCAAGATAATTTGTAGGAGGTTTAGATTTTATTATGGCAAATAAAACTAAATTGAACAAAATGGAAGAATGTTATGTTACAATGAAAGGTTGTAAGTTGTTTGTAAATGAACATATAAAAAAGTACTACAATGCATTTGAAGTCTGTGAAAAAATTCTGAATAACCCAGCTGTTATGTTGCCACTGTAGAAAGAGAATCCTCGGAATGGAGCTTTTCCTTTTTCTTGAAAAGAATTACCAGCTCTCATTTCTGAAAATAAAAGTTGACATCAATAAAATATCACAAGACTAACATAAATACCTTATCTAACATGAGAAATATAAACCCGTAAAAAAATGTTAACTCACTGAATTTTACAACTTAGTATCAAGCATTATTCATTCTACTTTCCTTATCTAATTTAAATTTTATTACTTTTAGTCATATCAGAACTACAGGTCTAAAAATGCAGTTGAAAGTGAATATCTAATACTCTAAACTTGCCACTTAATCATACATCTAAGACTGTTTGTAACCTATTTAAAATTTTTAGTCTACATTCTGATTTCATGTAATAGTACTAATTTTGCAATAATTCGATATGAGAATCTTAAATTACTTTACATAGAATAAATCAACGCTATCATTTATAAACAGAGTTAAAATGAATTTACAGCTTTTGAATCGATTGATAAGTTTAAGATACAATGTCAGGCAGAGCTGATTCTAGGCAGAAAAAAGGGCAGGGTGCATAAGTTTAAAAAAAGGGCATTATTATTCTAAAAAGGCAATAATTTCTTTATATGGGCTTTACACATTCTATTANCAGCTCTCATTTCTGAAAATAAAAGTTGACATCAATAAAATATCACAAGACTAACATAAATACCTTATCTAACATGAGAAATATAAACCCGTAAAAAAATGTTAACTCACTGAATTTTACAACTTAGTATCAAGCATTATTCATTCTACTTTTCTCATCTAATTTAAATTTTATTACTTTTAGCCATATCAGAACTACAGGTCTAAAAATACAGTTGAAAGTGATTATCTAATACTCTAAATTTGCCACTTAATCATACATCTAAGACTGTTTGTAACCTATTTAAAATTTTTAGTTTATATTCTAATTTCATGTAATAGTACTAATTTTGCAATAATTCGATAGGAGAATCTTAAATTACTTTACATAGAATAAATCAATGTATCATTTATAAACAGAGCTAAAATGAATTTATAGCTTTTGAATCGATCGATAAGTTTAGGAAACAATGTCAGGGATGATTGTGAGCCCAAGTCAAAATTCCGGAATATTTCTTGAGTTTAAAAAAAAAAAAACTTTTAAATTGAATTTAAAAAGGTTTTTTTCTTCCTTTTTATCAATATTTCTTAGTTTACTTAAAATATATACAAAATTACACATACTTATGAGGACCAGGAGAAGTAATTAAAATTTACAAATACGTCTTTCTTTCCTGAGTTTATGATTATAATAACTAGTTACTGATAAAAAATGAATATTAATCATGGATATAAGCTTATTAAGTATCTCTCTGGCTCTCCCTTACAAACAAAAATAAACTGCATTTTAAGTTCCATTTTTGAAAATTTGATTTCCGGAACCTTCTGTGATCAATGATTTTTTTAAACGCCTGGACCTTCGATCTCCGGAAGCTTCCGGATCATTGTTAGCGAAAAATCCGGAAATACAGATCCGGAGCACAATCAGCCTTGCAATGTTCACTCTTAAAATTATGTGAACATAAATCATGCATAAAAAATTAAATGACTTCAATTAGGAACAATCATCACACGATAATTTGTTGCTTTTAAAATTATTTTCGTACAAACTTAACACATTTATTATCTCTTTGAAAATTCAGGATTTTGTATCAACAGCAAGATAGAATCTGTTTAGATTCTAGAATGTAGTTAAGAGTTAGTAAATCAAATCAACTATGTGTCAATCAACAGATTTAATTCGCCTGTAGAATTAGCAGTTTGAAAACATTTGTTTTCCAGTTTCACATTTTTGAAATTTTTTTAAGACATTATCTTTAAACTTTATCCAAGGAACTCAAAGAATTTTTTTAAAGTTAACTGATTTTTTTATATAGCTAGAAATGCCCAAATCAAATTAAAGATGATATGCCTAAGATGTTACAAAAAAAAAAATAAAAAAAAAAAAAAAAAAAAAAAAAGCCTGCACTATCTTTTTTAAAATTTCAAATGTTCCATCTAGGATATTTGACCAATTATATGATCAGCATGGCTAAAAATTCCTTTTTTTAAACAGAAAAATTTTATGCAGAAGTGGATGTGAACAATATTCTCAAATAAAAACTTTTGTAACTTTTTTTCTTCGGGGCTAACTATGATAAAAACATTGATATATGTAGTTTTATAGATGATCATTAACATAAAGTAGTAACTTTGTTCTTATCTTTTAACTTCAATAAAACTTTCACTACCTAAGACAAGATTTTTCCAAAACACATAAGACAATAATTTAAAAGACACAAAATAGGATAAAAAATTACCGTCGACCCATAGGAGATCTGCTGCGGTAGCCACCAGAGCCATAATCATTTCCTCCTCCACCGCCGCCATATCTGGAACCACCTCCGCTACCGCCACGTCCACCTCGGAATCCTCCGCCTCTTCCACCTCTCCTAAATCCACCATCTCCTCCAAAACCTCCACGACCACCGCGGGAGAAACCTCGATCTCGACCACCTCCGAATCCACCACCTCTTCGTCCACCACCCTTGTTCTTTGATACATCAACTCTTATTTCCATACCATTAATTGTAGCTCCATTCATCTCTTTAATAGCTTCATTTGCATCATCATCATTTTCAAAATCAATGAAAGCAAAACCAGGAGGATTGCGAGCAACCCAAACTTTAGTTAAATTACCAAATTTACTAAATTCTCTTTCGAGATCTTCTTTCTGTGTGTCATTACCTAAACCTCCCACAAAAACTGACATAGGTGCCATTTCAGTATCTAAAAGAATAAAAAAATTTGTGTCATTAAAATAATTCTGATTATAATTTAGTAACTCATAATATGCCTGAACTCAACCAGATAATTTTAGAAATTGCAAAACCCAAGTGAAAATGAATTTATAAATGTACAAAACAAAGGAATATTTTTCTGACTTGTTACATTAGAGCTGTTTTCTCCATTACTATTTCTTCTTTCATATTTGATGATTTGGATACATTTTGCATTTTAACTGAATTCTATTAAAAATATTCCCCCCTCTATCCTAGAAATTCCGCAACTTAAATAGATATTTTCAATTTTAACTGAAGCAATTGTTTAGAAATACCTTATTTTTCCCTTCTTCAGCATTTTTATTTCGAACTTTAATTGCTCCCAAACTAAATTTAATCATTAGAGCTAAGTTTTTTCTGGTTTACAATGCATTTAACATATTAACTTAATTATTAATAAAGACCTACTCTTTCTTTCTTTGTTATTCGATTTTTTAGATCCCACGGTCTAGAGATTTGCTTTTAAAGTGCTAAAAAAGGTGAGATATCTCGATGTATTAAGCTATAAATAAAGATTTAATCTAAAGGAAATTTATATTGGTGCAAAAAAATAACTTTTGAATAATTTCACAATGCCTAAAATGAAAGAAATTTCACAATTTTTAGTAGTCTTGAAAAATCTTAACTATCACTCATTTATTTCCCAGGGTTGCAAAAAACCCGGGTTTTTGCAAAAAAACCCAACCCGGGTGGGTTTTTCTGGGTTCTATTGGGCTTTTCATGTTTTTATGGGAGGGTTTTCAAAAGAGAGGGCAGGGATAAGTACCTTAATTTAAAAAAACTTATTTTAATATTAATAATTAAGTTTAATTTATAAATTGGCTTCATATAGATAATTAATACAAATAAATTGATGTGAAAGCCTGAAAAAAGTTTCTTCATATATCATGATACAAAATGTTATATGTACTCACATACGTCACACATTTGAAACTTATTTTAACACAGGATTACTTTTTATTTATATTTTAATCTTAAAAAATGTTAGGGGAAATTTTTTTTATTTGCATAGAAAGCGAATCAATGGCCATACAGTCAAATCTAGCCAGCAAGGTGACTCTCCAGTCTCAACACAATTTGTTTCTTCACTGTAGGTTAATTTTTTTTAAGGCTAGATTACATATATATTTCAATAGAATAGCTCTTTAATATAACAGGGGAAGAAAAAAGAAATCAATCTTAGAAAAACCCACTTTAGGGTAGGTTTTACCGGGTTTTTCAGAGTGGGTTATACCCAGTAAAACCCGGGCGGGTTTTATTGGGCAGGTGGGTTTTTTGCAACCCTGTTATTTTCCGAGGTTAATTAATTTTTTTAAGGTCACTATTTAAGCAACTTATTAGTTTGGATAATGCTTATAAAATTATTTAAAATTAGATAAATATATTAAGTTCAAGTCTGATGAAAAAATAATCTTTTAGTGATGATGAGGCAAAAAGATTTAATGCTTTAAAAAAAAAGACATTTTGTAATTATATAATTAAGGAAAAATTTCTTTTTTAAAAGCCTATTCGTGCTCTTTTAATTTTTAGAAACCACACTGCTTTTGGAGAAGGGTGAGAAATTCTCCATTTTTTTTCTGCCAGAGATCAAAATCCTGACTTCAACATTAAAATTTAATAAACATGCAAAGGGATTGAAAACTTATCGGTGCAAGGAAGTGTTATCAGATTAGAATAGAAAAGGCATTATTTCAATAGTTATGACGTTTCCAGGCACTATGATAAAATAGTTTTTATACTTCCTAAAGAATTTCTTTTAAGTTATATGAACTATTACTCATTACAAATACTGCTAATGAAAACTAGTTTAATAAAAAAAATATTACTTAATAAATATAACTTAAACAAATAGTAATTAAATTTTTTTACAGATAATTTCAACTGATTAGACAGCTATATGGAATTTTTGTAATATCAGATGCATTAAATGAAAATAGGCCGCTAAACAGCAACTGTATGTGAGAAAATAATAAACAGAAGATCATAGGAGCACAACTTGAATGACATTAACTCTTAGCTATTCCTTGAAATACTACATATTTTATATTAAACTAACACAGTCGTCTGACGTCTAGTTAATTATAGATGGAGAGATCAGCTAAAAATACAGAAACATCCCCTAATAATATGTTATAATAAAAATTTATTCGAAGGTTCATTTTATGTTACAGCAACATAATTTAACCTTTTAAATTTGCATGTAAGATTTTATTTCATTGTTAAACAATTTATTATAATCATTAATTAAATCATTCAAATCGACAACAGTTTAAAATTACTAAAAAAAATTAGTTTAACGATCCAGTTTCCAGAGATAAAGGGTAAAATCTTTTAAAACAATTTACTATAATGCTAACTGTAACGACATGCAACATAGATTGATAAAATATATACAAGAATGACTTCGAAATATTAATTGCAATAGTGCCATATACCTATAATACACATATAAAAAATTATTTTTAAGCTAGGCAAGTACAAAAGAAATAATTATCTACCTACAAACGGGAAAATTATCTAAGTATATTGGCACTAAAGTATTTGGTCGAAATTTTATGGAAATCCTAAGTACTTGCGGTACAAACTTAGTCTCATATAATATGTCGCTCTATTAATATTTTTATAATTTAACTTATACTATACTTTATAAACTAGAAAGAAAAAAAGGATTGACAAATGGCGGAAACAAAGGACTAGGCGGTATATTAGATTAAAATAATTATTTAACCAAGATAGAAGAAATATAAATACCATAAAACAAAATTAGAACACTATTTATAACAATTTACACATAAAATAATTATTTCACAATTGTAAAACTTACTTTATACGTTGAAATTTGAAATGGCTAAGAAACGTCGTGTAAAGCCGGGTAAAATGTTACTCAGAAAGAATGATGCCATTACCATGTGGTTTAAATGTCTCTTATAAATAGCTTCACTTCGCTTTCATTATTTAAATTTTTTTTTAAATAGTACGAATTTAACGACATTATTCACTGTTAAAAATTCGCATCGATTTAAATTTAATGAAAAAACGATAAATTTTAGTAAATCAATAAAATATGTAAATGAAATAATCATAAAATCTCATGATCGTGACCGTAGGCGTAAAAAAGAAGCTTGAGTTGATCTTCGATCTTGGTTGTGTTTGTGCTTTTATTTATGTTTTTGAATCAAGTTTTAAACAATATTATTGGCGTTTGCTATTGAAGTATAATACTTTATATTATAGGTAAGGAATTGATCGTTTTTAAATTACAATATAAGAGACCTGATTTGAATGACTAAATTAAATGAGCAACTATAAACTGTTTATACAAACTTTTGTGCCCAAACCTTGTCTGTTTTAAAAATATTTATTTGTTATTAGTTTTGCTGACTAACATTACTTCCTCTTCTCATAATGTAATACATTTCAATAATTTACAGCTACAATAAGATGATTCCTTAAACTTTATATAGTTCTCTAACTTAAAAACTTCCGAGTCTCGAACTATAATTAAACAAAATGTTCCCATGTTTTGCATTGCAGATAGAAACAATTTTGCAGATTACTTACGAAATTTTTTTTAGTCTATTAATAACTATGATATAAAGCTGATCAGTACCCTCCAACTAACGAAAGATTTTTAAATTTAACAAAGAAAAATTTCTATGCCATGATCTGTGGCAGAAAAATCGCCAAGTCTTTTTTTTTTTTGTTTTGTTTTATAACCAGCGTTGAATGGCCGACCCTATTCTGAGTTAACAACTATCAATGTTCAATTACATATCCTTGCTATTTTGAATTCAGCCCAGAAGACATGGGAACTATTTGAAAAAGCATTTGGACAAACTAGTCTTCATGCATGACTTATTGATTGAACTAACTTGCATTTGTGTTAACTAAAAACTATCACAGTTAGCCTGACTGCCATTCAAAACCATGTGGATTCTAATCCATAATCATGTCCCGCAGTGGACTGATCATTAAGACACGGTTCCCAGCAGATCACCAAAGCAAAGCATCACTGGCTGCGGTCAGTGTGCAGGTGGGTGACCACTTGGATCAGTCTGCGTAGGGACCGAGGGTGTGCGGTATTGGTCCTTGTTAAACTGTGCTACCGTAAAGTGCTCGACTTCGCGCACAGGTCGTCAGGCTACCAAAGTGGGGGTGACATCCCCTCTGCATAGGATCAAAATTGTGATGGCATGTCTTGGCATCATGCTTTGGGAAGTTTCCCAGACCGTCGCCAATAGCCCATTGTGCAGCTCTATTGCGACATAAATTAACAACAACATCTAATCCATAATCAACTCATGAAATCCATAATCAGCCTACCAATGAGAATATTTTGCATGAGCACTGTCAATGCGAGCCCGAAGCAGGATTTATACCATCTAGTCACTGTTTAGTTTCAAACTTGGGTGGCCTTATCTGAAGGCAAGCCCTCCATCAATCGCCAAATCTTGGCAACTTCCGCATAGTGAGGAAAGTTTCTGTATTGTGATCTGTGGTGGAATAATCGTGAAGTCGTGGAAACTTCCATGCAGAGATTTATGCGAAGAAAAAAAAAACATAACATGAGGTGTTCTACCCGAAGAGTGTTACTTGAAGGCATCTTCACTAAAACTTCTCGATATTTTTTAAAAATATATTCTCCAAGTTTAAACTCCTATTTGGCATCTTGACGGTTGTAATTGGTGCTCCGGATCATTATACGGAAATATTCTTGGCGCGGCCAATGAGAAACTAAAAGAGAATAAAAATATCACAGAAGAGAACCAACTAGTAGCCTCTCTCTGGTTAACCTCCATATATTTTTTATTTAAGAAACCTGCAGGTTATAAAAGTTTAAAATTCATTTATTGTTTTGACAATTGTTGTTAGGGCGATTGATTACAATACGGAAATATCCCCGGACATAATCATTGCAATAGCAAATTATGCTAAAACCATCTTTTAATAAAGTTTTTTGCCATTTTGTAAAATCAAATAAAATAAAACATTGCATTTTCTTCTCTGAATGTTTAACATTTTCTTATCTTAGCAAGTTTTGAAAAACATGTAAATAAAAATTTCTTTCTTGTTGCTAACAAACAAGAAGAACAAAATTGCAGTGTTGGATTACACTTCTTTGTGAAATTGTAGAATGATAAATAAAAATTATAAAGTAAGGTAAGAAATCTAAATGAAAACTGCTTATGAATAAAAAAATAAATTATGAAATGCTTATCATTCAATGTCAATGATCTTCACCCTGTCAATCATTCAATAAAAGATAAATCTGCCTTTATTGGAGATCAGAAAAGCTCTATATATTTTAAAATAAGCATTACAACAATGAAAAGACAATATTGAATTTTACAAAAACTTTAATAAACATTCAAATAAATATTTTAAAACCCTTCTGTAAAAAAAAAAGAAAATAGTACTCTTATTCCATTAAAATGTCAAATGTTGATTTAGCATTTGTAAAGTATAACTTTGAAGAAAAAAATTTCTAAATATTAAATTTGTTTCAAGACTTCTTTATCTTTTTATTTTATATCCGTGGTTAAACAGTCGACTCAATTTTGGGTATACGACTGCTAATGTTCAACTCTGTAGCCTTGTAATTTTGAACCAATCCAGAAGACAAGGAAACTCTTGCATCAGTACCCCCAGAGATTCTGGTTTGTTATGGGAACATGGGGGACTTTGCGACTCGATAGATTTAACATGCATCAGTCACCATTTACTACACTGGGAGTCTTCGGTCAGCGGGGATCGAACCCACAAACTCTTGGACATGGGCCCAGTGCGCTACCAACCAGGCTATCTCGACCTAGACTTCTTTATCTGTGAAACATTTTTTTCCTTGGTGAAGATATTCCAGTTTATAAAATTAAGTGATCTCAAAATGGACATGATTTTAATTGCTGGTAAACACTTTTTTAAAAAGAAAACAATGTGTAGCGGTTTGTCGAAGGTGGCTGTATGAAATACCTTCGCGTTAATCTCATTCTCCACTTTTTTTTTCTCTTGTGCTACTACCCGGAAATTGCCAAAACTTATCATAGATACCAATACAAAAATCTTCCCAATATAATACAAGGTGCGTAGCGTTTTTAAAAAGTGCTTAATTTTCCCTCTTTCAAAATGAGATTTTTTCTTTACCATGTTGATTTTCGCTTAGAATTATGCAGAAAGACACAGTTCACATTGTTCTATTCAATGTTTTCACAATAAATTCAACACTAATCTATTTCAACGTTTGAAAACTCCATTCATTTTACATGATTCAAAATTTCATGATTTTTGACAATTGTCAAACACAATGCCCAAAGTTTTTTTTTGTTTTTGACATGACTGTTAAAACAAGATAAAACCGTTAATTGTCAAAAACTTTCCAACCCTACCAAATTATGATATTTTTTTAAAGTGCTTAAAAATATTTTTTGAGTGCTTAAAAGGTGCTTATTTTTTCTTGAATAATTTAGCTACGCACCCTGTAATACATTTTGGTACTATTCCGTGTAGGAGGGGTGGTATAAAACCAGTACCTGGATTAGATATACTTATTACCACAATACGAGTAGTAACTGCATTTAATGTTGTATCGCTGGCATCATTAATACTTAAGAATTTTTTTTTGTGTGTCCAGAAATAAAATAGGACTTGCACTTCAAATTATAATTCAGTTTTAACACTTTGATTTATAAGATTTGTATCTGTACCCTCCGTCTAATGACTTCTGAACAGTGACTGTGAGAAATTGGAAGAAAAAAAAACACACACAGAAGAGAATCAACTTATAAAGTTATAACTTGTAGTCATCCTGAGCAATCATGTTTATTTTAAAAAATTTATAAGTTAAAAACTAATTGGTGTTGGTTATTGGTCCAAATAGGCACTGGTATGGAAATATCTCCCCAAGTCAAAATTGGTGCACATTTTTCACAATTTCTTTTCTTCCTATAGCCTATGGCATATAGGTTTTGCATTTTATATTATTAAATTATTAATCTTATTTTAACTTCCATATCTCTACCTGTATCTAAACTGCACAACTTCCGGACAGTTGCCTGTCAGAAACTTAACTAAATCAAATTGCAGGAGCCGTCAAACTTGTAGAGTATAACTAATACCCATCCCTGAGGGTGGCCACTACATGTTTATTTTTAAAATTTTGCAAGTTACAATGCCGTTTATAACCTTGGTGTTGGTGCAAACAGGTGCTGATATGGAAATATCTCCCAAGGACCATATTAATGCATAACTATGCATTCTTATTGACAATTTCTTTTTTAACTTTACATAGGAAAGGAGGTATAATTAATTGTAATAAAGTAATAACACCATTTTATGTCATAAACTGAGAATTAAATTTCCTTTTAACGAACGTTAAATCCTGTGTCTACTAAGATTAAACCAAAACATACTTTATAAAACTTTAGAAGATTTCTAAATAATATCGTATGCCGTAATGACAGCCAACTTTTGACAACAATTGGCCAGTGACATGTAAACTTAAAAAAAACGTTGGGGGGAACAGGATGCATGTCTATACCTAATAAAGAAATGTATCCCTTTTGTTTTATTAGTAATTTGTTGTCGAAAAACAAGTAATATTATAGAAATAAAAAGAAAATTTTCCTCACATTAATATTTTTGTTAATTTAGTGATTCTAATATCTTTTTGTTTCTATATTATCATACAGTATGAAATTTCATTTATGATCAAAATTTCTTTTAGGACACCTAATGAAAAATCAAAGTATATATGGCACAACAACATTACTTGTTCATTTCCATTGGTGTATTTTTCCTGTCACTGTTTCTTCTTCGTCAATTGTGCACTGACGATTCTCATGAACAAAAAAAAGAGTTGAACAGTTTGTTAAAATTATATGAACTGGAACATCTTACTCCAATTATTTACTTCTATGGTAATGTATTATTAATTTAATCATCCTTGTTTTTAAATAATATTTTTTTTGAAAGTTTGTTAGCAAAAATTTTTTTAGATAAAAAAATTTTTTACTTATTTATTTTTGTTATTTAGTTTTTCTAATCTAAGAATACTATAATTTTTATACCTATAAAATTCATTAAATTTTTAAGTATGAAAGCTCATTATAAATTACTTTTCACTTTTTGTATTTTCATAAAATGAAGGAAAAAAAAACTCTTTTCGAGTATAAACATTGACTAATTGGGATTCCCTTGTAAATTAGCTATTTATTATTACATAATAAATATTTTTAAAAATGTCTGTGAACAAAAACAGCTTTTGATTTGTGGTAATTAAAAGTTTTGTATTAATTAGCTAATTCAGTACTTATTTTATCTATTTATATTACAGTCGGATCCCGTTTTAGCGAATCCCATGGGACCGAAGCTATTTCTACGCAATAATGAAAATTCGTTATACCGATATTACGAATTTTCAACATTAACAAATATTATTTCGTTACATTGGGATTACTATTCGTATGAAAAATCAATTTACAGTTTTGATACTATATTTTTAATCTAGATTTGGGAAAATATCAATGTAATATTAAAAGAGCGCACAAAACTAATGTAAACAATGACTTTATTAACACTTACTAATTAGGCAGATACATAATCAGTAATTTTTTTCTGAACAAATGATTTAGAACCAGTAGAAATTAAAAATTTTTCCAAATTATGCACATGTTCGAACAAAGTATCTGAAAAGTTTTTTTATGCCGATAAATATCTCTTTACAGCTTCCAAATTGGCCAAGGCTTGTGAAGCTGTAGGTACATTGTTTTCTTCTGGACATTCTTCATCATCGCTGCTGTCCGAAAATTATTTTTGTTTGTTTTCTTGAATCATACGTACAATATCATTGTCAGTCAATGCTTCGCATGTTCTAGCATCATCATCTGCAGTCAGAAAATCGTCAAGACTGACTTTGTTTGGCACTGATGTTTCTTTTGTCACATGTTCCCATAAAGGCTGCAAATCGATGATAACATCATTAATTTTATCGACTGTTTCATTGTCAATTGCCGAAATTAAATTTGCTTTCTTCCATCCATTACAGATTACTTTTTGGCTAATGTCTTTCCATGCTCCAGCAATCATATCCATTGCTTGCTTTACATCTGGTTTCGTAATTGCTTCTTTGTTTCCGATTTGCACAAGCATACACCTCAGAAGTTATGTTCGATACTTTCCCTTTACCACTTTAATTATACAATGGTCAAGAGGTTGTAAAATTGACGTACAATTGGGAGGAAAGTATTCGATGTGAATACATTCCAATTTTGGTGGCTCATTGTGGGGTGAACAATTATCAATAAGAAGCAGAATTTTTCTTCTCATACGTTTCATATCTTCATCAAACTTAACCAACCACTCATTAAATATTCCAGTCGTCATCCACGCTTTGCGGCTAGATCTATAATCACAAGGTAGTGAATTTACATTTTTTAGGCACCTAGGTTTGGCAGATTAGCCAATAACCATAACTTTTCTCTTTTCAGTGCCTGACATATTGCAGCAAAACAAAGCAGTTAAACACAGTTTTGGAATTTTTGCCTCCAATACATTTATCCTTTTTAAACGCCAAGGTTTTGTTTGGTAACAACTGGAAAAAAATTCCCGCTTCGTCTGCATTGAAAACATCAGAAGGATCATAAGACCTAATTGCATCCGATATTTTTTCTGATTTCCAGTCATTCACAGCTTTTAAATCAACAGAGTTAGCTTCACCACAAATTTGCTTTGCAACAATACCATAACGTTCCTTGAATCGATTCAACCAACCAACACTTGCTTGAAAATTTTCGTTTCCAAAAGTTCTTGCAAATTCTAAAGCCTTTTCACGAATGAGGGGCCCGGAAATTGGAATGTTTCGGGAGCGAATATCCTGGAACCATGTAAAAACAGCTGCATCTACATCTTGAAAATTTGAAAGTCGTATCTTTTTTCTATGTGATCCGATCAATGCTGATTGCACTTGCTGTTCCAACTTCGTTCGATTTTTTAAAAAAGTAGATAGAGTAGATGGGGATAGTCCATACTTTGTCGCAACGTCAGCTTTTTTTATCCCATGATCAACTTCTGAAATAATTTCCAGTTTTTCCTTAATGGAAAATTGTTTACGCTTTTGACCACTCATTATGCTTAAGAAGGAAAACAAAATGCTTGCAAACGTTGATAGCAGACAAACTGATTTAACTAACCTTCTCCTATTGAAGTTGCACACCACTCTGGTAATTTTCTGAAACTTGTTTACACCCCTTTTACACCTTGAGTTCTTAGAACAGCTCCCCCCCCCCTATTTAGTCTGTTGTAATTCAAGAAAGGAATTGTTCTGCTAAGGGTGGTCACTTCTAATCTATCATTCTTGACAAGCCCTTTCTATTCAATAGAATTCCCTCTTTTAAAAGCATGTGTATTTTGACTTCTTAAAACATGAATGAATCAATGCAAGGGTCAACTCAGGGTGGTCTCTTTCCAGTGATTCTTCTTTTTTTGACAGGTTTTTCACATTTGTAACTTATTAGTATTTTAAGGGTGATAAAACATTTCATTTCTGAGAACATTTTTGAAGAAATGTGTCTTGTTCATCAAAGAAAATAAGACCTGGTGTTCATTTTCGCCTTCGCTAAATCGGATAATTGATTTCGTAATATTGGTATTTTTTTATACATTGTTCGCATGGAAATACATTTGGGGATTCGGAAAATATTCGCTACTTTGAAATTTTCTCTTTTTCGAATTTCGCAAAAACGGGATTCGACTGTAATTGTTTTCTTAATCGCAGAAATAAAGAAGGTAACGAACCCTACAAATTATAACCTACGATACAATCCAGAATAAGTTTAAAATTTTTTGATTGCACTGTGAAATTTTCAAAAGGAAAAATTCTTTTCCTATATTTAACCTAGCAGTCTGATTAATAGTTAAATTGATAATTTTAAAAATCGTCCTAATAGTATAAAATGATAAGAATGAATCAAATGCATCAAAGAGTGGTGACTCAAATTCGAATGTCATAATAACATTGTATTAAAAATATCAGACTTTGAAAACTCATCTAAAAAGGGCCGAATTTTTTTTTAACAGCTTTTGAAAAAACAATCATCAAACGGTGTGAAAGTACCATGGAATCATCACGAATCAAACTCTTGAAAAGGAGTCATAACCTTAAGTCAAAGAACGGCTGTAATAATGCATTAAATATGTATTGAAATATAATGTATTAAATATTTTAGAAACTATAGAAAAACTGCCAAAAAAAAACAATCAAAAAACCACATGAATTTACAAATAAATGGTGTGAATAGGCCATTTTTTTAAATATATTTAGGTGCGTAATCTTTTTCAAGGAGTATGCTAGTCAGAAATTTTCATTCAAAAAGTGTTCAAGGTAGAATGAACCCTAACTAAACTTTTCTCATCATCCTATATTAATCAAAATGTTGCTAATTCAATATGATTGAAATATAAAATTATTATTAGATAGCAGGTAGTAAATTTTTGCTAGTTTTGCTGCTTTTTGACAAGATCAGACATAAAAGTCATTATTCCTCTCTGTATTCTTTGAATATGTATGATGTTAAAATTTTATTTAAATCAGTTGAAAAGTGAAGAAGTACTTGTTTGTGCAAATATGTAAAATGTTTTTTTGAGAAAAATGTATAAGAATGCTGTCAACGAAGTCTTAATTGCAAGAAGGAACATATTGTTTATGTTTACTTGTCTTTGAACTGTGCATTCTGTGAAATTACGTAGAATTAAGAAGTGAATGTTTTGAAAATTACTCGGTCAATTATTCAAGCACCACTCTTTTTACGATTGTTATTTTAGTGCATATAAATCTGGTTATTAGATCAAAAGTTATTAGTTGTGGTTTATTTTTTATTTTGCTAACTATATATTTATATTCTATATTAGCACTAAATATCTGAACTAAAAGAATCCAATTAAGATTTTAATTTTAATTTCAGGTTGTACGTCACCTGTTACTTTTGTTAACATATGTGGAGAGCAAGATATTCCAGATCTATCAAAAAGCTCTTTGAGGGTATTGAGAGAGCGAATAGGTCTTATTAAAGATCATCTCATTTTAAAGCAGTGGTTAAAAAAGAAAGAGCTTTATGATGCGGACACAGTGTAAGAATTTTTAAAATTATTCAATATTTATGTCCAAATGATAATTGTTCCACACAAAATAACCCCTACACGTTTTCGCCACTGTTAACTCTAAGGGCAATTCTGTTCATCTTTTAAAAGCATTTTTAGGTTTTTAATACTAAGTCTTCTGTTTTTGCTTGAAATAATTTTTAAACATTCCCATTTTACTTAGTAAAAGAATTACTTAACACGCATAGAAAGTTTGACAACAGAGGCAAATAGTCACTCACAAATATTCATTTAAAATCACATTTTTAAAAAATCACTTATTTTAGTCTAACATCGGTTTCATTATATATTTTACGTAATTCCTTAATGATGGCTGGAGTTAGTGGCAAAGGTAGAACCAAGCCCTGCTGTGCTTGGTGTAATAAAAAGAAAGTACTTAAGTATTGCCTGAATGTTGATTTTCAAAAAAAGGATTTCTGTTCTGAACTGTGTCTACATGATTTTAAGCTTGCATTTTTAAATTTAACCTGTTCCTTCTGTGAAAATGAAATCACAAAGAATGTTGAAACTGCCCAAAATTATGTTTTGGTTACAGAACCTACCATAAAAGATTTTTGTAATCAAGATTGTCTTCAAAAACACACTGCTAAAGAATTGAACTCTCAGCTTAAAAAACATAAGACTAAACAATGTAGCACCATTCAGCACAATTTTAAAATTACAGGTGTCTTTGATTGGGAGGAATATTTGAGGGAATGTAATGCAGTTGCTGCACCTGCCAGCTGCTTCAAGCAATATCCTGTTCCTCCAAAAAATGATTTTGAATTAAACATGAAACTTGAAGCTTATGATCCGCGAAATGTATCATCAACGTGCATTGCTACCGTTGTGGCAATACAAGGTCCCTTGCTTAAACTACGTTTGGATGGTACTGACAACCAAAGTGACTTTTGGAAATTGGTTGATAGCTCAGATATACACCCAATAGGCCATTGTGAAAAGAATGGAGGGATGCTTCAACCTCCTCTTGGCTTTCGTATGACTCCTTCATCTTGGCCTATGTTTCTTCGCAAGATTTTAAATGGAGCATACATTGCTCCAAGTGACATATTCATAGAAGAACCAAAATCTCCAAAAAGTAACAAATTTAAAGTCGGGCAGAAGTTAGAAGCAATAGATCGTAAAAATCCTCCCTTAATTTATCCCGCAACTGTTAGTTCCATTGAAGATGACATGATTCTTATAAAATTTGATGGTTGGCCAGGAGTGTTTGATTACTTTTGCAGATTTGACTCTCGATATATTTTTCCTGTTGGCTGGTGTATAGCTAACGGGCTTATATTGCAATATCCAGGAACAGCTGGAGAAAAAGTCAAAATCACTCCACCAGTAACAAACTCTACACCATTACCACGTCCAACAGTCAAAGCACCTTCTGTTTCCACAAAGAGTCCAAGCAGTTGTACGAGATCTAAAATAAACGTGACAGAAAGTGATAAAAGTCATGATAAAAACAGTAAAGAGGAGACAACTAAATATTTGCATAGTTGTGAAAATGAAGTATTTCCTTCTAAATGGAGAAGGGAAAAAGTACCCAGAAAAATCGGAAAACACGTTGATGTATACTACTATCCTCCATCCGGGTCTCCGAAACTCAGATCCAAAAAAGAAGTTGAAAAGTATTGTGTGGAACAGAAAATAGTCTGTCCACCTTATTTGTTTCAGGCTAAGAAAAGGAAAAAGAAAAAAATCAAAATTAAAACAGAGGGGTCTTGTTATAGCAGTACGCCGAACACTCAAGAAGATGCTGCGAAAGTTCCTGGGATAAAAAATTTGATCAGTTGTAAAAAAATTAAGAAACAGAAACTTAAGAAGAAAAATCGAAATAAGTCGCTTTTGAAAACACACGAGGAACTTCGAACAAGTTCGAGAGTTCGGATAGCTGAAAATTTGGAAAATTTTAAGCAAATTGAAAGCAAACTTATAAAGAACGAAGATAAAACAATTATTGAAACACCCGAGAACGATCAAGTTTGTAAACAGCCCCAAACCTCTCAAAATTTGGTAAGTAATGATAATATTAAAGGAAAGAAGTTAATGAAGCAGAATGCTGATGAATCAGTTTTGATATCATCAGAAAAAGTTCAAATTTCTGCAAAGGTACCAAAGTCAGTGAATCTTGAAAAAATTGATGCAAATGAACTTAAAAAGAAGAGAAATAAATCAGATTCGGAACCACCCGAGGAACTTCAAGTCAGTGCAAAAGTCCCCAGGATAGAGGAAAATAAAAGAAAGGAATCAATGGAAAAGAATCTGGAAAAATCAATTCTAAAATCTCCCGAGAAATTTCAAATTCGCGTCAAAGTTCAAAGAAAAGAAAATTTGGTAGCTGTGCCTGAAAACAAACGAAGCAAGCCCATGGAAAAAAATAAAAATAACTCAGATTTAAATCCATCTGAGAATCTTCAAATCTGTGCTTATATTAATCGTGACTGTAATTGTGGACCCTATTTGAACCCACAACAAGTTACTAATTTGCCTGTAAAGTATGGTCCAGCCCCTCTAAATCATGTACTTCAGAAAACTGTGCAGACATTTATTGATTGCTCTGAAAATGAAAAAAACGTTTTCTCGTTGCTTAAACCAGGCAATGGAGAAGTAACTATCACGGCAAATTTTGATGGCAAAAAGCACATCTGCCGGTTGCGTTCTTTTAATAATGCCACTACTTTTTGGCTTTATCTTGAAAATCTTTTGGATGAACTAATGTGTTGTGAAAATTTTTATACTAGTCAACCACTTCAAGGTGGGTGCATTAAATGTGCAAATAAGGGACCAATGAGAGGAATATCAAAAGAAAATATATTTGCTGATTCTGAAATGCTCAAATTACAAAAGCATTGGCCTTCAGTGTCTACGAAAAACAATTCTGGCAATGCGCATTCTCTCGTGAACATATTTACACAAAAATGTTCATCCAGCCAGTCTTTTAGAAACAATGCATATTCTAAAACTGTCATAAAAATTGAACAGGACATTTCCAGACCAAATGAATGGACTATTGATGATGTCATTCAATATATGTGCAATACAGATCCAAATATGAGTGCATATGCTGATCTATTTCGAAAACATGAAATTGATGGGAAAGCTTTGCTGCTTTTAAACAGTGACATGATTATTAAGTACATGGGATTGAAATTGGGACCTGCTTTGAAAATCTGTAGTTTAATCGAAAAATTGAAAAACAAGGACAATTATTAACTTATGCATTGTATACGAGCATTTGTCATTGTTTCATTAGCAGTGTATCTTAGCATTTGTTATTGTTTCATTAACATTGTATGTTAGCATTTGTCATTGTCTTATTAGCATTGTATGTTAGCATTTGTCATTGTTTCATTAGCATTTGTCATTGTTCATACCATTATGTGCTAGCATTTGTCATTGATTTTCAGTATTAAATTTCATTCTGAATTTTTTTAACTTTTCTAAACTAGGATGCTTTATTAAACATCTATTTTCCATCCCTTCTATGATACTTTTTTGTCAAAAATACTCTTTTCATTGAAAAATGAACTTATTTATGTAAAAATATTTTTTAATGAATCTAGCTATAAAATCCCTATAATGCTGTTGAGATCATTTTCAAAGGCTTTTGTATTTGCAGCCAAATTACATAATCAAAAGAACTTCTTTTATTCCTTTTTTATCGTTTTGGATGTAAAAGTATAATCTATGAGATTAAATTATTATTTTTTTATTATTGCTATTTAAACAAAAAAATAAAAAGGTAAATACTGTACTTTTCAATTAGCCAGGCAAGGAAATTCAACTTCTTTTTGAAATTTTTTTTTATTTCATTTCATTTTTATGTGTTTAAATAAAGAAATAAAATAAAAACTAAAAAAAGTTGGCAGAGGTCTGCGTTTTTTGGAGACTTTTCATTTCCGCCCTGCTAACCGAAAAGTGCAGTTAATAATTAGTTTGGGAAAAATATTTTTATCATTTTAATTTTTTAAGGTTAAAAAAAAAAAACTATTAAGTAAATGTCTGGCTGTATGATGATAGAAAATATATGATGATAGAAAAATGCATTAAGGATACATTTATCAAAGTGAAAGTTTATTTTGGCTCAGAATTTAAAATTCTTGTTTATGCAATTTATTTCATTGTAATGGCATTTTTTTATTCTTTTGTGAAAGTGATGCTATATTAGTTTTCTTAACTAGGAAGTATAATGTGCAATTAAAATGTAACTATAATTATAATGATTTTTGGGAAAGCTGTAACGTAACCATTGGAGGTACTTAATCTTAAAACTCTATTGGCTCTAACAAAATATTTCTCAACATTTGTATTTGAAATACTTGGTACCCACTATAAAAGAATGAAATATTAATATGCTTAATGTCTTACAATTTTTATTGTTAAAATCAGGTATAAGATTCCTTCTCAAATCTGCAGTTTTCCACTTTTTTTATTATATCTCTTTTTATCTAATCCTTTCTCTATTTTTTGCTGTTTTCCTAAGAAATTTTTAAGAAAAACATTTTATGTCAAATACTTTTTTTTAAATCTTAAAAAAAAAAAAAAAAAACTAATCAAAGTAAATTTAATTCCATAAGGTTGATAAATATTCAGTTTAAGTGTATTACGATTTTTGTCACATGGGTTACTTTAAGGGTTATTCGAAAATAAATTTTTGTGAAGTTATATAATGCGTCAAATGAGTTGACGATTTATAGCTCATTTTGCTATCTAAGTCTCGTATTTATATTAGTGTAATTTTTATATAGTAATTTAGTTTTATTTAATTGAAACTATATTGTTAACATTTCTTTATTCTAAGCTATTTTCAACATTATTTAATTGTTACATTTCTGACTAGTTCAATTATTAGTAATAAGTCAATCATGTGATTTAAAGTTTTAAAAAATTTGCTGTTTAAATAGTTTTGTATCTTTCAAATGAAAAGAAAGCTTTTAAGCAAAAATATCATTAGTTAATAAATTTCCCGTGCCAAAATATTCTTCTTGCGTCTTTTTCAAACATATTTCTTATGTTTTATTTTTTTTATTTCTTTATTCTTTCACGTCTTTTCCTTCTTTTTCACGATCTTATACTTGTAAAATAAATGTGGTATTATACCTCCCATTAAAAAGAGAAAAACATAATCATGATTTTTGCAGACTTAAAGCTCTTGGCTTCTTATCTACTATTATTTTATGAGAAATAAGTGGATAACCAGGACAGTTCTATACAATTTTACATTTTACTCAAAGTCATTATTCTTCATTAAATTGAAGAAGCAAAAATTTTTTAATAATAAAATATGTACATGTACATATTTATTTTCTCTTATAAATAATTTTTGATAAAGTGTACACCATTAAAGTTTGATGCTGTACTTCATTTTTTATTCAATCCCTGTATCAACATATACTCTCTTACATTTATATGTATGTACTTTCATATTTTCTGAATATTGATATCTAAACAAAAATGCTTCCTATCTTTGCCAATGGAGTGAAAATAGTGCCCTTCGTGCAGGCATTTATTTTTGTTCTTTTACTAAGAGTAAAAGTGCTTAATTTTTAAAAAGGCAAACTGTTTCACTTAAGTGGCAGGACAAAAAGGAAGTAAAAAAGTGGTAATAGTTTAGTGAGTAATGCTCAGTCAGAATCTATCCTAGTAACTGAAGCTATAGTGTAATGTAAAACGGCAGTGTAATGTGTAATGTTTACTTGCTCATACCTCACCACCTTGGCTTATAACAATCCCTGAATCTTTTTAAATTTGTTTTTAAAAAATTTTAACTCTGGTTTTTGAAAATTTTATTTTTTCAATAACTGTCAGTCTGTACTTATAGGTTAATGCAAGAACAAGCAATTTCAAAATGCTGGATTAAGACTAAGTTTTCTTACATTTTAAAAAAATATTGCAATAAAAAATGTATTTGTGTTATTACTCTGATTGAATGGAAGCAATTTTTCCCCTGTTTCTCTTAACTATTTGTGGCCATATTTCAGTAATACTTGATAGCATAAGGCAAAATTAATAATTGATCCCAGTCACTGGGCTATTGAAGTATTACAAATGGTGATTAAAAAATAGTCTGTCAGTCACCACCCAGTTGCCAGTTTTTTTTCGTTGTAAGCGCAGCAATTGTGCATTTTATTATTATTATTAAGAAGCATAAAATTATTTCGAAAATTTTATTAATACAAAAATATTCTGAACATCTCTTTGTATCATGCTTGTTTCTTGTAGTGTTTACCATATTTTGAGAAAGGTTTCAAAGACATTCTTTATATAATTAATAACTGCAATTTTTTTTTTATCCTTTAATATTCTCAGTTTTTCGAAGAAGTGGTCACTGGTAGAAATTCAACAGCTGGCCTGTAGCAAAATTTACTAATTTTGCCCTGTACTTGATAGGAATTCTGAGAATTACTGTGTGACCACTAAAACTACAGATTTTGGTTGCAGATGATCATACAGGGTGGCCACAACTGAGAAAATTTTAAAAATAGAGGGAAATTTTCATGAAACTGTTGGAAATTTTTAACGTTTAAGTTAAGAAATAACTTTCCTTTTAAGTTAAAAAATATATCTTGGTAAATACGAATCTGAAGAAAAGAAGAAAAAAAATTGTTTCTTCAATCTTTCTCTGCTATATTTTAAACTTTTATCAATTGTGTCTACCTCTTTATAAAAGTTAGGACCATTATATATTTTTTCCCTATAGGATTGATATATGTTGTTCTTGCATTAAACTCAATGCATATGTAGGTTCAAAATCAAATATGTCTATTCTTAATCAAAAATATGTAAATATTTTTTTTAAAAATTTAGTCTTAATTGTCTATTATGTTATGAGCTTTAAAGAAAATATAGTGTTTTAGTTTACTTTTTAACTGGTGTTTGTGATAGAAATTTATTTTTTTGTAAAACCTTTTCATGATTAATTACAAACTTTTTATATGAAAGTAGATTTTTTTTAAATAAATATATTGAATCTCATAACTGGCTTGTTAACTTATTTATTATATCTGAAACTATCTTAACAAGATACTTCTTCAAAGAGAAGACTTAACAAAATATCAATTTAACACAAATATATTATTTCTGTCTCGAATTTTAAGGAAATTTCAAAACTAAAGAGACCTCTTTAAAACTACTAACAAAATAATCTAACACTATCTGTGTATGTATAAAACTCAATGTTTGTAAGATCCTTATACATCTATGCAATGCTTAATAAATTCACACCAAATTTAGTGAACAAGCACGTTGGAAGCACAAAGTAATTACTCCCTTCTAGTTTAATAAATGAATAGTATACTGGTCATTATTTCAATTAAACTACAGAGAATTCCAAATTATTTTCATTGGAAGTATGCACCATGCTTTTAGTAATTATTTATTTTCAGTTTCCTGTGTTGAGTTACCACAATTAAAATTAATATGGGTAATTTGGTGATAGGAGATTATTAATGCAACTTGTGTTCTCCCCTTTATGCTCACAATTTTGAAGCATGTTTCGATAATCCTGAATAAAGTCATTAGGCATCATTAAAATAAAATAGTGGAAATTCATCGAGTATATCTTAACTAAAATCTTAACTATTATTTGTCGAAAACTATCATTGTTTCTAAAACATGTTTTGATAACATTTCAAAATACATTTCAAGTATATATACATATATATATTTTAATCAATTTGGATTTTAGTCGAATCATTGAGAATTTTTAACAAATGATTTGTGTAGTTTTAGGATTATTAGTCTGCTAATGCAAAGTATGTTAATTGTTTCAGCAATGTGTTTGTTTTCAATGGCTTATGTTCTCTCAAACGCTACTGAGTTTGTGCCACTTTTTTGGTCATTTTGAATTCTGCGTGATAGAACAGCTACTGCATAATAAATTTTAATTTAATTAACACACTTTTTATATGCATTTGAAAGCCTTCAAAAAATTTTCTTTAACAAAAAAATTAAGTTATATTTAAAGTGTGACATTAACAGAGTCAAGTTTGTTTAAATTAATAGTATTTAATCCAAGTAAGAGGTATAATTGAAAGAAAAACTTAAAAGCAATTAAATGTTATCTTGAAATTAGTATTTTGCTTATTATTATAGTTAAAAAGCATTTCACAGTGTTGTAACTAATCTTGCTACAAAAATCATTATTTTAGAAATCTAACAAAAAAAAGAAATATATTAAAATTTCTGAATGAACAATTAAAGATTTTCACAGTAAAAAAATGATAAAATTAAATGGTGTGTCTTCTACCAACTATTAACTTTAGCTATTTATAATGGTGGGTGAACTAAACAAGTTGCCGTCGATATATTTGTCTTGCTTGAAAATTTTTCAATGAAGAAGGACTTTGCTTTTAATGAAAATAAAACTAAATTTATGTTTGCAATAAATAAAATTATGAATATAAGTCCTTTTTGAAGATTAATATGTATATTTTTGAAACTATATAAACAATTTAAATATCAAGCTGAAATTCCATGAGAAGTGAGGTAAAAAAAATTAAAGTAAATTATTCTTACAACAGTCTGCTGGGAACCAGGGAGTAATGCTGGTTAAGACTACAATTTCATGACTATCAGCATGAGTGTTGTAATATGATTTGCATTACACACAGGCTGGTTTTTCGTCTCCGACAAGCTGGTATCCATCGATTTGAAGCTAGATGGGCTACAAGTCGCCACTAAGGATTGAACTCCAGTCATTTCGCAATATCAGCTTCGTTCGTTGACCACTGGTCTATATCAGCTCAATTTAAAAAAAAAAAAAAAAAAGCCATCTAGGGCTGATAAATGTTTCTATAGCCTAAGAAATCAACTCAGACCAACTTTTGAGCACGAAAAACAAAATAAGTCCATCCAAAACTTAGACATGTGCTTTATTTTATAGAAAGAAATGCTGGGGAAATCGTGAGAAAAGTTTTACAGTGAATACAAATAGAAAATAGCCGCACAAATACAATATTGAGCTGTAAAGATAGTATTATAATAAACCGTATAAAATGTGTTGAACACATCTGTGGAACAAATGTGTGGAACCATCCTTCTTAACATCCAGCATTGTTATTTTAAACCACTTGAAACCCAAATCAAAGGTGGCCCAGACTGAGTTTGGTAGGCTGTATTAATGAGGGTTTCAAAGAATTGAGAGTAAACAACTGGAACAATCTGAATGTTAAAAGACTCTAATATGGCCTTTACCCACAAAAAGCTGTCGAGTCAATTAAAAAAAAAGAATTATGGGGGCCTAATAAAGATGGAAATGATTCTGCTATTCATCTTTGAGACACAAGTAGAAAAAGATCATTGGCGCAATAAAATGATGTGCGGATGTGGAGAACCTACTTATGTATAGTCGTAGGAATTATGTCAAACCCAACATTTTCAAATCAGTTTTTGAAAAAAAAGGTTCTCTGAAGTATGCCATAAAAGGATTAAAATTATAGGAATGAACTGGGCTGCTCATATTGCTAGATAATATTGCTGCATATAAATAAAAACATTCAGTAAAGATTTTTTCTTCTTTTCTTTTTGTGTCATATTAATTGCAAAAGAGAAAGGTTAAAAAAAAAATGGTGGCTTGATTCTACGGAATCAGACATTAGAGTGATTGGGGTAAAAAACTCTGCGAAGGTCAAAAAATTAGTTGTCCTGGAAGAATCTTCTGTAGATAGCTCATAAAAGACTCTTAAGTCCGGGCGGATCTTCCATTCTAGCACTCTTAAGTTTTTGGAGTGGTTGCTGTCACAGCTTTTAATAAGATCTCTTGTTGAAGGTTGCCTTTTAGATTGACCAAGTTCGACATTCTTAAATTTGAATCTTTAGTTGAAGGACTTCCCACAGAACTCCTCCTCAGTTATTGTTTGGCCAAATTGAAGAAGCTTATAAAATGTTTGTCCAATGTTATCTTAGCTTCATAACATTTTCATTAGATGCAAGCCAGGTATGAACTTAAGCAATATTTTTGAATCTTAATCAAAGCCGTTACCCTGAAAAGTGACATGTTGTGATGAACAACTTCTATTACCTGCTATTGAGCAGAATAAGTTGTAATTAAAAAGAAGAAAAAACATCGGAGAAGGAAAAGAGGGTTTGATAGTTAGAACGATTTTTTGTTTCGATTGTTCCCTTATCTTCTTACTGTAATAAAAAGTAATAATAAATTATTTTTCTGAAAAAGGAAGTTATTTAGTTTAATAACTTTTTTATACAAGTATGTTAAGGAATTAATTACTTTATTATAAGAATTTTAAATTCAAATAAGAAATATTGAAATAACTTATAAATTTTAAAGAGGAAAAAAAATAGCGTAAATGAATAGCATTGCATTAATGAATCGTAATAAGATTTTAAATAAACCATTCGGTTTCAACCAGCCAACCTTTGAACAAGAAATACAGTGTTATTGAGTTTTTTTAGTTGTTTTGTATTGGATTATTATCGTTACTAGTTAGGAAAACATTATTTTGAGTAGAGAAAAATTCTTAAGTCCTCCAAACATTACGTTAGTACTAATCCTTTTTCTTTGTTACTTGCTATATCATTGGCGCCACGCCGCGAATATGAAAATATAACAATTTTCACGCAAGTGTCTTTTTTTAAAAAAAAAAATTTAGTTTCTTCATCAACTATACTACGCCGTAAACACGAAAGTTAATGTCACATCTTAATAGTCTTTAGTCCGGTAAAATTAGACTTAGCATAGTGTGATTCACTATTGTATTGCTTTGGCTATATTAATGCAATATTAGAAAGCACTTTTTTTTTCCCCTTTAAAAATTCTTTACTCCTTTTTTCCTTGTTTTTTCTATCTTTTTAACTTATTTTATGAGTTCTATGAACTTACAGCTTACGCAGGGCTAAAGGGCTAGTTCACTCCGCTCTTAGAGCTGAAGCTACGATTTCCCTCCTCATGACGTCACTGTGCCTACAGATCTCGGAGATCGCAAGCAAAGATATGATAACTTTGCATCTTTCTCTTGTAAAAATAAGTTAGACTTTTTCTGGTTATTAGCCTTCAAACTTTACGTAATTAACACATTATTTCCGTTCATAAACATAGTTCAAGAAGAACTTTATTGGTTATTATATTAAAAAAAATGCCATTTTAAACTTATAAAAATGTTTTGCTAGTTGGTGAAAATGACACGATAAATACTTTATTTTAAAAAGTTCAGTTTTAACTTTAACTATTAAGAAAAATGAA